AGTTGCAGTTCAATGCTTACTACTTTAAATATGAGTCACCTGTTTCTTCTGTCAGTGATACAAATAACTACATTTTAGTCTCAGCAAACGTACTATATGCTATTATCTGCGGTAGTTGCAGGGTAATATATTCCAATATGCTGCAATTGATAGGTTTTTAAAGAATACAAATAAATAAAGCATGATCACGCTTAATCCAGTATTTGAATGATAATAAACCGCAGTTTGGTTTGGCTTTGTCTCTATTGATTCTGAACTTCTGACCACATTTTCTCTTACCCCTTTCTCTTTCTTCTTTTTTGCAGAATTGAGTCGCGGAAACAGATGTGCAATTGCAGGCGTACGAACACATGTGCCTTGTTAAATTTATGTGTTTACTCCTTTCTTTGTACCTTTAGGTGGGTTAGTATTCCACCATCTGCTTCTGACCGCAAATCGTGATCGCTATTTGATACCGCCGTTTAGGTTATTTTTAGTTATAAATTGATGTAAAAAGCATTTTCATGTGTATGGGACGTAGAGGAGGTAAAATAATTCCGTTCGGATAAACCAGATACTATACATATGTTAAAATGTAAATTTTGCCTTCATAAAAATGTAGAAATTGTGCATCAAAAGAATACACTTGAATTCATCGAAATCACTTTAAATATATTTAGCCACCGTCTAGAATATGACAATAAAGTTGAAATGAAGTTTAATTTGTAAAAATTGTTTTCTTATGTGCTGCTGAAATCGTGTTTCAAATAGTTTAAAGCCAATTAAATAAAACGCAATGTTTGAAATTTATTTATAGAATACATGTCTAATGTCTAATATGTCTACATTAAAAGGACACATCTTTATAAATATAAAACAAATTCATAAATAAATACAGCTGCAATTTTTACAAAGCAAGAAAGCGCTTTCAGTTTAGATGTATATGTATGTACATATACATATATGCGTTAAAATATAACCACCCTACTTATACAAAAATCTCTTTAAATGTATTCTTATATTTAAAATATGCATATTAATGCATAAATGGAGCTACATTCATTGCATTTTGCAAATATTTATGCAAAACAAATCGAAATTAAACATTAATTTTATGGTTGCTTTCTGCAGTGTTATGTACATATTTGCGATAATATCAAATGTCTGATGTTGATCAGACGGGCAGGTGGAATTGGCTAGATCGAGTGCACATATTACCTTAATTTTTTTTACAATACCCATTTTTAATAATATATAAGGCTTGTTTAAAATGTTTCATTAAGTAGGGTGTATAATTACCTCCATTAAATGAACCAATTTATTTACATATATACATACATAGATAATACATAATATGAAATATAGAAATAGAAAGAGCGAGACAGAGAACGATGCGCGCAATGTGGTTATTAATTTATAAGTCTTAATTCATACAGGCTCTCCACAGAGTGGAAATTCACCATTATGACCGTTTCTAAACACACAAACCATATATACCAATTATAAGTTTATTCATACGTATGCATTTACAGATACATCTATGTAGACACATGCACATGAGCTCATGAAGGAGACTGTGACCATTGTGACGTTTGTCTTTTTGTATACAATTAGTGGTTGCAATATAAATATGTTTGGCTAGTATATATTTATAGATAAATATATAATTTTTTACTATATACCTTAGGGAGGAAATAATTTTCAATACCGCTATTAACATTCATTTAATTGTTCATAAAAAGAAATATAATACATACCATTACATCCGTCCCGAGTTGAGTATAAGGGTATACGACTATATACTTCTTGATCAGGAGTCGATTTAGCTTACGACAAATTTCAGACTGAATAGGTATAGATGAAACAAGTAGTTGAATATAGTTCCTTTATGAATTTAGTTTTTGTAATATCTTTAAGTTTCTATCTTACGATTTATAGGTAATACTAACTTACTTAAAAAAATGTATTTGAATTAATTTTTATTTATTTTGCAATTAAAAAATTAAGTTTGCAGAATCCACATATGCCTGCGAAGCACAATATATATTTTTAGAGCTTCCATATATATAGACAATTTATTATATATGTATAATTGGGAACAACCGCAAAACTTTATTGGCATATATTTAAGGCAGACTAACATTTATTCAATGTAATTTAAGAAATTTCAGTTAAAAGACATAATATGTTTGTTTGTACAACCAGTATGAGCAAAAAAATATTTTGAAAAATATGTATGCTACGAAAACATACTTCTGTTCTGCCTTGTTTTTTAAATTTTAGTATTTATATTTAGTGTAGTTTTTATTATTTAGGATTAAATAAAGCTGCGGGCTTTTTTTTAATAATAATTAATAATTTATAATTAAACTTCTTTGACTATACATATATAATGTTATAGAAAACCGATGAGGATCGATATGCTTCGGAAGGAGGATAGAAAAAATAAATTGAGCAGAAATGGCGCAATTAATTTTAACTAAAGATGTAAATTTAGCAGCATACTATTACATGTTTCCAAATATACATATATACGCACTTACATAAATAAACTTAAATCATTAAGGGTTTTATAGTGGTGGAGAGCTGCCGACATGTTGGTGTTGTACATAAGGATTTCACATAAACATTAAAATGCATACTTCTGCACCGTGACGAAGAGCAGAAATGCATCCAGATTGCACAACACAAGCTAGACAGAAACAGTTGGCAATTATAAGGAGTAAGGGAGATAGAAGACATGGACAGGAGCAGAAGGACGAGCAGGAGGTGGTGCAGGACAAAAGGTGCCAGAGAGGCCTTGAAGTAGACATTAAATCATACACAAATTTGCATATCACCGACCAGAACCCGGCTCTGCTGTGGTTGCAGGAAGACAGCAGCGAGGAGGGTGGTTCGCTGGGTGGTTGCAGTGGTCATCACGGCTGCATCGCTGCCATATAAGGGATGTTACTGCGGAAAGTGCAACACTAGCCGGACCCGACGACCAACGCCGAGTGCAACCAAAACAAACTTTCTGCCCCTTTGCCTGTCTATGTGAGAATAATCAGTTGGCGTAAGGGATGATGCAACGAAAACGCATCTGAAACGCGGTATGGGCCAGACGTTGTTCACACACACACACTCACGGGGACCGAATGGTTTATGGGCATCGACAGCATGCAGTTTCGTGCACTTGGAAAAACTCAATCAAGCAGCAATCAAGATAAATAATATAAAGTTCTGCACATTTTGCTTAGGGGAACGGAATAAAACCATGATGAATTGAAAATAGAGCAATAAATTGGTTACAAGTATAACAAATTTCAAACTGTATAATAAAAGGTAAGAATGGAGTATAAAAGTTTCCTTGCTAAGTTAAGTATGCCGTTATGTTAAGTAAAAGATTTCTAGGGTGCGTTTGATATTAAAAATAAACATGGTGTTCAAGTAGTCCATGGCAATTTAAATTTTGATCATTCTAACATCTTTTTAATTAAATAATCGGCTATCTTATTCTCTTATTGGGCCTACTTGATTTTCAAATCTTGCCACATAACTTAAAAATTCAATGATAAGAAAGTAAATTTTTTTAGTGTGAAACTGCAAAAGGCAAAAACAGCTACACTGCAATTGCATTCGCCAAGAGCGCCGGCGCTGGTTCCTATCCGAGTGCAAGGACCTGAATCTACATCCGCCGCTTTCGTTGCTGCTACCGACGCTGTCACTTTTTGTTTAACACACACAATTTTTATCTTATAATAAGTACGCCGCTGAACCCCAGGCATTCCCCCCTTCCGGTGCCCTTTTCCAGTTACCAAACAGCGTATTGCTGAAGCGATGATTTTTATTCTCAATTATTTTGGATGTGGCATTCACAAACGCAATATTCCATGGAGTAGAACAACCGACTGCGGATCGTCCTGACCTCGCGGAGCATTTTTATTTTATAAAATGTGATTAAATAAGATATACAATAATTGTGGACTGTGCATAAAAAACTAACTATATTAAAGATAAAAATGGATGATAACAGACAAAAGCACAAAAAATTCCGTAGCAATTGTTTTCAAGGATTTTTTTAATCTTGGGCAATTGCATTTGTGCTTCACTGCAATCAGACTGAAGATCTGACAAATATCTTTTTCTTTTACTTTAATTTCAGATCATCATAATTTTACTAAAAACAATAGACCAGAAAAGTTTTTAACATAAAATAAAAACTATCAAGCAATAAAATCGTACAATTTAACTAAACCATCCTTCAGTTTTTAAGTCAATAGAACAGAACAATTCATTCTCTGATTTCTTACACATATAAAAAAAATGGAAACATTAACTTAAACTTCATCGCAAATCCAAGAAAATAAAACTACCTAAATATATAAAAAAGTCCCAAAATAAAAACCGACCAACGAAAAAAAACCGCTTAACTAGATTGAAAATTTGTATGTTCGAAAAATAATTTTTAAAAGAAAAGTCAAGAAAACTTGAAATCAAAAGTACAAAATGAGATAAATTTATTACAAAAAGAAATCTAACATAAACCATTTTATGTCTAATAAACTTCTTATTCATAGGCTTAAATATATCCGACCATGGCTACGAATCAAAAAATAAATAACTTATTTGTGTATATAAAAACTCTGTACTTAAATTGACCAACTTAGGGGAAATAAACTAAGTTTTAGGTCTGCACTGATATTACCAAAGGTCTTACGGCCATATATTCCGACAACTTCAAAATACATTTTCTGAAGACTTACTCAAGACACACTGACACCGGAACAGACAGTTTGGAATACCATATACCATACAGTTAGCATTTCACAAAAAAACTGGCTTACGCCCTGGCATAATTAAGATATTTCGACAGGGGAAATGGCTTCATAGTTTTTAATAATAAGAGGAATTCAAATAAAATAGTACTTTGAAAAAACAAGAAGATGATAAAATTAATATAGACAACAATACCCCGAAAATAACACAAAAAGTATTTGTATAACGCTACTTAGTAATTCACTACAATATTTACTTAAATTTAAATATATATGGTATTTTTATATTAGATAATCTCGATTGAAACGTATATATGTACATTTATTGCCAATTTATGGGTATCTTCAAAATACTTTAAAATTTAATCGAATTAAGTTATATTTTTATATACCTTAAATACATATGTATTTGTGAATACAAGTCCGATAGTTAAGTGATACTTTTTGGCACAAAATAGGTAATGGTATCGGGTAACAAATTGTGATGTAAAATTAACAAAAAGTAAAGCAACTAAGTAAATGAAAATCGAAATATATCTAAATCAGTATGTCTCCATTACTATTTGGAGAGAGTGACACCACAAATATGCGAATAATGAATTTCCATTACCAATATATCGCGAAACCGTAACGTGTGCCTTATTCCGGCCTTAAGTTTAAATGATATTCAGTAACACATGAAAAATAAGTTAAATCAGAATTATAACCTTATTATTATATAATCGTCGAATGTAAACGCCCACTAGAATTTCAACGAATGTAATTTCATATAATATTACCAGCGCTGCAACCGTCATCATATTGTAATCATGATCAACGTATACTTTCACGGTAAGTATTGAGCATCGCTATGCAATTAAAAAAAAAATATATATATAAGATGCAAATTAAGGATCGTACTTGCGCTTTTAATACAATTTTGATCTGATAAATTAATATATTATATACCGATGTTGTCCGATACGTCAACTAAGAGAAAGTTAAAAGAGAGCGTTTATACATTTATCTATGACAATTGGTGCTATTGAGCGAAGATGCTGGTGTTGGTGGCCACGAAGACGAGACGAAGATGTTTTTCCGAAGATTTCAGCGCTGAGTCCAGAAACGAAGACGTTTGGCTTACTTTGCGAGGACGATGACGATGGCAGCGGCATTGACTCGACTTCAAGCCGACTCCACTTTTGTGTACAAGTTCTATTTCTAAGCGAGACGTGTCTGAACCCCCAGCAACAGTCATATTTATACTTGGCCAAGGCGGCGGCCAAATTAGTTTTTCTATGACTCGCGTGCCGCCAGGTTATCATTACTGTTTACTGAAAGCAGATTCGAAATCTCAGCTGTAACCGTAGCCGTATCTGAGGCCGTGCATAGAAATGTTTTATATTTTATATACCAAAATAACCTCGTAAAGAGGTAAAGCGGTCGAAAAGAGCAAAAATCTCCCAAAAGTTTGATATCAAAAAGTTTTTTATCTTTAAATCAAGACTTTTTTTATTTTTATATTTTCCGTGCAAATATTTGTTTCAAAATATTTATTATATTGTTTAGTGTTTAATGGATAAAATATTGTGTTATTTTTTCCTTTTAAAAAAACTCATTGGAGAAAAAGGAATATGGTCAAACCTTAAAAAATTTTTATTAATTTAGTATTCATTTCATTTTAAAATAATAGAGATTAGGAAATAAAATATTTTTAATCACTTCGGGTTGTAAATATGGTGTAGTCTTCCACAAAAATAAATTCTCGGGAACCGATACTGTTGTTCAACTTAAATAGGTGGAAAAGTTGGTGCGGCAATCTTAAAATTTTAAAAATAAATTATTTAAACTATTTAATATTATCGTGAGAACCAATTTTCATTGCAAAAAGTAAAATTAACGCAATGGTCGAAAGCCTTGCACTATAATTATTTTGTTATCCAATTTCAAAAAAGGCACTATCAAAAACTAATGCTGTGTACAATATTACCAGAGTCATCTGCTCTTAGAACTGAATAAATAATGTTAATTTAGTGGTGGTTAGGTCACTGGCCACTAAAGCAGAATTAAGAAAATTAATTGTGAATTGTGTTCCAATTTTATAAAAATGTTGGTAAATCAATGAAATCTGCATCCGTTAACTTAACAATCTATGTCTTTAACATGGACCGAAATGGTTAAGTCGACCAGGTAAAAAGTTTCTAAAAATTAATCAAATGAAAACATTAAGGGCATGGTAAATCAATGTAATCTGCATCCGTTAACTTAACAATCTATGTCTTTAATATGGACCGAAATGGTTAAGTCGACTACTTTTCAGTCGGAAATGTTTTATTACCTCGGTACAGATATCTGATAGTTGGGGCACTTGACCAAAGTGTTTTACCAATTTTCCAAATATTTTTTATCGTGACACAATGTAATACTCTCCATACACTATATTCGAAAGCGGCCAATATCATATTTCTTCATTAGCTAATTTCAACGTCTACTTATTGTGATAAAAAACATATGTCTAAACATGAGCTATAGGGTCGTAAAAGCTCCTATTACATATTCTACTTACTCTACGAGTAACAGGCATATATATCTTTGTTATCTTAACTAAGGCACGATGCTCACATTTTTTTGATCGAATATTTTTATGTTACAGGAGACATGATATGAAATTACGATGTTTTGGCCAGGTCCAAACCACTAGAAGTTGCCAGCCGAGAGTTAAGTTCAGGGTCAGAAGCAATCGTCCTGTTGGTCTACTAGATCAGTCAAGACCTGTGAGCAGGGAAAACAACATTGGCATACTCGTAAAAAAATTGTTCCGAATGTTTAAAATGGACGGCGCAGACTTCTGGCAGCAGGCACGGGCCCCATTTGGCTTGCAAACGGCGCTTCATCAGTACAATTCGCCACCGAATCAACAGCCACAACACCATCCCACAGTGCACCACTCCATTTCACAGGAGCACGAGCTGTTGGCCGAAGTCCACTCAGGTGTCCCCATTATGGGCTCGGGTCCAGTGAACAGCAGTAGCTCAATTGTCTTATCCAGCCCTCATCCTCATCTGGGCAAAGTTGAGTCCAGCCACATACTGCAACAGCACCCGGAGCAACAGTCATACGTGGGAGACTCCTTTCGTGGTTCGCAGTCGCCCCAGCTAAGCAGCCACCACCTGTTGTTTAATGCGGCTGCGGCAGCGGCTGCGGCGGCACACCTTAAATCTACAGCCATGCAAAACAACCTTTCACCAATAGCGGACCAGACGCCGAATTCCTTGCGCAACTATGGCCATAGCTCCTTGAATGCCTTATGTGGGATCAAGCCCAAACAGGAGATGGATGCTAGGGCAACCCCCCAGTCGATCGACGAGTGCCGCCAGCCGCTGGCTCATCCGCAGGCCCAGCCTTTATACGGCGGAGATTTCTACGATGTAGGGGAGGCACAGGCAAGAGAAGCTTCCGAAGCAGAGGGACGAGCGATGACCATTGAAATTCGCGAATGTAATACGGAGTCCGATGAATTAAAATCCAACTTACAGACTCACCAGCAGCAGACAGCAGGCCAAGCCTCGCAAGCGCCTCAATATAAGTCAATGTCACCCGGGACAGGAGGCAGCTCTAATTCAGGGGCACTAACAGGACCCAGACCAGGGGCAACAATGATCAACAAGACCTTGTCGCAAGGTCAGCAGTCTCCGCAGAACTGCACAACGCCATCCGCTGGTAGCACGACGCCCGACATCAAATACAACAACGACAAAATGACAAGTGAAATTCAGGTACTATCTATTTTTTGCGTTTAAAAATGAGTATATTTGTATGCACATATGTATACGGATAGATTAGATTAAATTGTGTTCTATATAAGATTTCGGTGTGATAAATATGTATTAAATATTGTTTGTTACAAAATTGTTCAATTTGTTAAAAGCACTTACAATTGCTTGCCTTTGTTAAAAAATATTTCCCGCGCTTAAAATTTTAACAAAATTTAAGTTTTCGTATTCGAAAAAAGGAGAAGGATGTTTTTCCAAAGGAACACAATTTCAAATCATATGATCTTAGCCCTTTAGTAATAACTCACGTATTAAATACTAAAATAAATAAACGTGAACGCTTAGATGTTTAATAAATAAATTCTTATCAAATATTTAAGTTAATTGGTGCCTTAAGTGTATTATAAGTAACCTCAAACGAGAACTTTCAATTCAACTTGTTTTGACTACGAATTTTTTAAATAGAGTGCACGTCTTTTTTTATTTGTTTGGCTTGTTCCTTCAACGTCTTTCGTAAAATGTGTTAGCTCGTTTTGTGTCTTTTCAAAAGTAGTCTCTTTTTCAAAATTTCTCTTTTCCATGTCTCTTAATTGCACCCATTTAAGAGCATTCAAAACATCCCTTTAGCAACCCCTTTTACACGAGGGAAATTTGAAAAGCTCACTTTCGTTCCAGCTCAAAAGGTGTAAATTCCGTCCACAGGCTCGGTGAGTCTCAAGACTATGCTGCACTCTTGGTCGCCTTGGGAACGTCCTTTATGGTGCTAGCTTTCTTGTCGTTTAAGGAGCTGTAGCGGCGCTTCTCCTTTGTTTTAATTTTTTCCTTTTCCTTGTCCCATCAAAATATCTCTGTATTTCGCCAGATCACGATTTGTTTTGGGATGACGGTTTGGAAATTAATGAGGGGTAAAGAAAAATGGGTGGGTGGTTATGTTAAGTTACACATAGTTAGGGAGTGGGAGAGAGAAATAGCTATGACCCGAGAGAAATGGTAAGAGAAATAGAGAAGGAAGAACAAAGAGTAGTCTTATCCTCGCTTAGTTTTTAGCTATTCTTAAAGTATTGAAGTAACCCGCATTGCCGAGTTCTGCCTTTCCTAATGTATCTCCTATGTATAGTGTGTGGGGAATCTTTACCTCAGCTCACTTATACAATAAGTTACGGGGACCGAAATGGGGATGCAAGTTCAGGTTCTGTTTAATAATACACACACACCATATATACATATTTTATATAAGTAAGTTTACCGTTCCTAGTCCAGAAGTAAACTCTGCCGCTGCCATAATTTTCTTTCCCCTGGACTTGACTTCCCTTCGCGCACTAGGAAAAGAGAAAAGAGAGCGCAAGATGCCGTTCTTTCGGGAGCTTTTTCTTTCTGTATTTTTTTTTATTTCTTCAAGATAACAATAATAAGGCATAGAGAAAGAGATGCCGAATTAGAAGCTCGATTGTGGCAGCGGCAGAAACGACGTCGTCGCAACAACAGGATAGTTCAAGAAGAACCCCCTAGCAATCACATAGTGTCCCGTTTGTTGATGATAATTCGCCGAGCCGGCAGAAGTTCAAAGGACCTCAGACCGTAAGGTTGTGTGCCTCGGTCCGCTTCGCGTAGCTTAATATGATTGCTTAACTTAATTTAGTTCGTTCGTGCGCTAACTATTTTCGTAATCGTGATACAAATTTTTATGCACCGACCGCCAAAACTGTATCTAAGGATAGCAATCGCATTTGGATCACTAAAGTTTTTCAAGTTTTTCAAGATTAAAAGGCGATTTTCGGTGTTAAAGTAGTTTAACAGATTGTGCCTAACATGACACACAAGTGCTGTAAAGTTCGCAAATCTTTAACTCGGGAACGAACAAAAAACCTTAATACCACCAAAAAAATCAAAAAAATTTGTATTACAAATCGTCGAACCAAATTTTAAATATTTACGCGGCAAGAGAACTGTGTTGTATTCGTTCAATTTTATTTCGTTTTACGATCGCCTGTCTAGGTCTATACGTATACAATGACACTTGACTGTGAACAGGAGCACGATGTAATTTTTATTTTATCATTAATCAAAATTTAAATTTAATATTTAAATTTAATAATTTAAGAGCTTTTCGAATTATAAAGAATATAACAGTGGACCTTTGTAAAATAGGCAAAAAGCTTTACAATAAATCATGTTCATATTAAATTATTTATTTGAATAACACACTGCTTATATAAACATGTTTATTTTACACATAATTTTCAAACAAACAATTTAAAAAATATATGTGAATATAGTTTTGCGAGATAGAAAACATAAGTATAAAACATATATCATATTTAAAAACTATTTCTACATCTACAAATTTGCCACGTTAAAGTGACTTAACATAATTTTGCAATATATATATATTAAGTTTAAGAAAAGGTTTTACACGTATATATTCTTAATAGGAAATGCAGTTGTCCGTCAGACGTATTTTTAATAACAATATTTATTTTTGATTGTATTTCAGCTTCAGCTTTCCCGGTCGAGCAGCGCCGCCGCGATCAGTGAACGCACCCTTGAAGAATGTTGGTCAACCCTACAACGAGTGAGTTGGCATCTGTTCCGTTGTGTATAGTACTCTTCCTCGTCAAAGACACTGTACAAGTACACAGCTGCAGTACAGAACATCACCAAACACTTCCGCACACTTATTACAATCAATGTGTATGAGCTTCCACGAGTCTCATAAATAGATAAATTACTTATTTGTCCGAATTCGTTCAAAAGAAATCTGACCCTTAAAGTTCGAAGGCTTTTAAGCGAAATTATTTTTATTTCATTAATATGATTTTACTTAAATTTTACAAACAAATTTAAATATATCGACCTATAATATATTAAAATAATGAAAACCTATTGCTCATTTTTATATTAGTTTAACCACTAAAAACTGATTTATGTTCAAATAATGGAATTTTTAAGTTTATAATTTAAAAAAGTGTATAGGTCTTACTAAAGATTAACCTAATTAAATATATTGATCAGTAAATTGTATACAATTTTCTTTTATTTTTCTTTTTTTATATATCGGTTTTGGGAAATTTTTGGCAAATTAACGCCAATTTTTAAAGTTATGGGTAGTTCCAACCACAATTCATATTGTTTTGTACATACATATACCCTGAAAAAGGTTTTACCGATCGGGCGACTTTTCGGTGTTTCATACATAATACTTGTGTTTATACTATTTATTGTAATGAAATCTCCAAATTCGCAAGTGTATTACAAGTTGATTGCCGTTTTTAACCGTTGTTTAAAATTCTATATATATTTTAATTTATTTATTACATCGTAATATATATGTATACATATAACCAATTCAATTATTATATATATTTCCAACATATGTACATATATATATTATTAATCACCAATTGTCTTTTTTTGACGAACTGCGTAGTCAAAAATATTGACTTTAATCAAATTTAAAGTACTATGTTTTTAATTTATAAAGAAATTAGAAATTTTCTATACAATAAAACTGTTTTAAGACATATAATTATTTTAACTAATTGATCCGTTCCTATCTTTATCAAATATTTTCTTATTTTGTTCTCAACAATTTGAAGAAGTGTACAGAAAGCAGCAAAGTAACTTCGAATTATACGTATATTTAAAGAACCAGCGTCCCGAACATTTGACCTTCCCTAAAATGTTTTGTCTTCTATGACTAACACATTCGTAAATTTTGTTTATGTGTTTTTGAACATATATTTTACATATGTGTGTGCTTCGCTTGCACACAAACAAACGAACTCGCACCCAGCCGTACGAGCTCATTGTCCACCCCTCACGTTTTTTCAACCATTTTTATTTCACTCACCTCAACGACTCGCAGAACGAAAAGAAGCAATGGTTGCCGCCTCCTGCTACCCCTAAGACAAGGTTGAAGTGGTCGGCGGACCTAAGTCCATCCCTCTTCGAGTTTGCGTCCGTGGCACTAGGGGTCCAGTGTCTGAAGGTTGGCAAGAACTTGACTCAAGAGGGACGGTGCGGGGTGATGATACGAAAAAAAACTAAAACGAATAAGGGAGGAGAACGAAGTAGTGAAAAAGCATGTACACAGTAGAAGAAAACTTTCAGGCGCGCTCTTATTGCATCTTTTTTACCTTAATTTGACAATGGTTATTATAATAGCTCAGATAAAAAACTTATGCAGTATATAAAAAAAATTAATAGTTTTTTGTTGAATTGTTTATGGGGACAATTTTTGTTTTGGTGTTAGTATATAAGGAATACCTACAAAATATTATAACTTATCTATAATATTGAGCTAGATTTTATTAGATTACAAGTCAAAACATACAAATATCGCTCTTAGAGGCTCCTTTAATTACTCGGCTGAACAAATTCTCTTATTTTATCGGCATCCCATTTGCCTCTGTATTTACGCGTTTTCAAGACTAATGGTAAACACTTACAAGTACCCTGTCGCTACTATCCACATACCAACTAAAACCAAGTGAATAAAAGCTGCATTCTGTCTCAGGCAAAACCGAGTGGCCGTGGCTATACGATAGAAGGATACAAAAGCCGCTACCAGTGGAAGCAAGCCATTGCTCGCCTGCCAACCAACCAGAGAGCTACACGAATTCAGCGTGGCCATTCCCCTTCGCTTTCATGCTGCACCTAGTTCTATCCTTTTTCCGAATATTTATATAGATCCCTACCTACTTCTTTTGAAAAGGAAAAAATTGATAAATGTATGATTAGAGAAATTAAGGTATATTATCTTCGTAAAATAAGAAATTGGAATCAAAACTGATTAGAAGTGCATATTTTAACAAAAAGAAATGTATGACAGGGAAATATAATTGCATTCTTTGAAAAGCCAGGCACACGGAAGCATCCTACCATTGGGATTTGATTGTTAAATGAATGTCTATGTCAAAATTATTCAAATGAAAAGCGACCTCACTCTCTATGTGTCCGTTTTTTAAAGTGTTTATCAATTCCGATATTAAAAAGCTTTTGGAACATGCACATGTATTAATAAAAAAGAATATTTAAATACAATCCAAAACTTTAACATTTCATCTATATGTATATAAGTTATTGAGAGGGAAATGATACACCATACCATGCTTTAACGAATATATTAAAAGTTTTACTCTAAATTTACGGGTCATATATTTCGGATATGAAGAGTATCAGATTAAATATCAAACATTTTATGCTTTCTTCAATGCATTTTTTTGGTATATACATTTATACGTTCGCCTTTACTTTTAATTTAATCCCTCCATTGCCAATTTAATAAATATATATTTTATGTAATACATGTATAAAAATCCAATCCTGCTGACAACAACAATCACAGTAACTAAGCATAAATAGTCTTCGTCTTAATCTTCATATACTCGTATAGTACTCCACAATTTTTAATGTTTGTCTCTTAATAAACCACAGCTTTATAATTCTATTTCGGATGTTACAGGGAAAATCTTCACCAATATTAATTTATTCTAAAGCTCTTTTATTTAATTTTTTTGCAAATTTTTTGTATCTTATTAAAATAGTAAATGTTGAAATGAACTATGTGAGCTTTTAATATTTGCTTTATTATTAGCTGGTTTTTTACAATTTAAAATTCGATTTCGCTCGATCGTCGAGAATTTGTACAACCATCACAGTATACTTTCAAATAATATATAAAAACTTAGTATTTATATCAAAAAACATGATGTGCAAGTTTAAACTTGATGCTTTCAAACTTATAACTTTGTAGATTGCATCATGTGTGTAAAAAATTTTCTTAAATTCCTTTTGCTTTTTTATATTTATAAAGTGGTTTTATGTGTGAGTAAAATGCTGTTCAATATTTTAAGAAAGAAAAATAAATTGTTAATGTACAATTTCGATCGTTAAAATTTGCTTAATAGCTTGGTATTGGCCTTAATAATAAATTATACAAAAACACAACGAAATATGACCTCACAATATGAGTAAACAATTAAGCAGCACCTAAAAACGTCACCTTTACCACTAATGTACATGTTTATTTATATTTTTTTTTAATGTTCACAAAAAGTTCTTATTTTGCTGACATATTTTTAACTTGTACGACATGCAACGGTACACATTTATATTAAAAAGTTTATAAAAAATATCATACAAAACTGGCAATTATTGCAAAACGGGGAAAAATAAATATTTAAATATAACTAGTATTACAGACGCAGCGACAGAATGACCAACTTAAAGAATTAGTGGGGTTTTTCGGTTGAGGTGTACACTGCCTACGCCAAGACTTTATTGCATATCTGTTTGCTTAACTAACCGACACCTCTTTGACTTACAGCTTTTCATGCACAAAAGCGCGATGCAGCAAATTCAGCAGCAGATTCCACGCGTCGGTCTAGGAACCCACGGCGTGACCGGTACGACTAATTTGGTAGGCAACATCACGCCCGGCTCGGATACTAAGCCGCACCAGTGCCAACAATGCATGAAAAGTTTTTCCAGTAACCACCAGCTCGTGCAACACATCCGAGTGCACACTGGAGAGAAGCCGTACAAGTGCTCCTACTGTGATCGTAGATTTAAGCAGCTATCGCATGTCCAGCAGCATACTCGGCTGCACACAGGTGAGTTCTTGGCCCATGCACATGGTACACCAGATCAGCATATTCGGAACATAGTATTTTCAACTTTCAATTTTATACATATGTAGAAGGATTGATTCATATTCCAAAACATCTGTTACAACAAAACACTTGCTAGCTTTATTTTATATAGACGTATTAAAGTTTTTAAAGCTTTTGACGAAATGATTTTTGAAACGATAACCTGTAGTCAACAAGACAAGAAGAAACTCTAAAGTCGTGTTCCGCGAATATAAAAAAAAACAGTAACGGTTTTATCCAGTTTTCAAATATTCATTTTTCTATCGGAAATTTACGAAGCCAACACCTGTTCTCAGAAGAAATATGTTGAATAACTGATAGTAAAATCACTTCCCATGTGAGGTCTTATAGCCTACTCTTTCAAAACATTTTGGTAATTCGATAAACGCTTATACTCGGTCAAACTAAAACGTAAATTTTGGTAATGTAACCGCCACGGCCGGATAAAAAATCACCTGGACCTGCGGTGGCATCTCTAGAATACTTTCCCGAGATCTTAGCGTTTTTGCTTTGCGCGTTTTGGTTTTAGAGTGGACGAGGCCAGGGGGGGCATCATTAGAAACTGCACGCTTAATCTCAAATGTTAGCACTTATAGTAATCGACATCTCCCAGTTTTTACAAAAAGCGCAAACCTTAAGATGCGCTGCCATTTCAAGATTATCTCACCTTTGTAGCTCTTTGTAGTTCTTGAGAACTCAGCGATTTTAGTTTTTGTGATTTGTGGGTGTTAAAGTGGGCGTTGCAGGATGCTGAGTAGGTCTTAAGAGTCTACAGCTTAATCTCTTTATAGCTCTTATAGTTCCTGAGATCTCAGCATTCATACAGACCCTGATCAAGAATATATATACTTTATAGGGTCAAAAACGCTTTATCCTACCTGTTACATACTTTACATAATTTAGGGTTTGATTAGATTTTGTATAACATTTTTTAACATCGGACAGTTATTTAATATGTTTTTTCTGATTATTTACAACTTTTTGGTAATTTTATAGCAACAAAGAAAACTAGTTTTGGCTATCTGTGTTTTTATACCATTACAGTTGAAATAGTACTTTAATGACACAATAACAAATGTAACAAATGTATTTGTAAGAACATCTAATATGAATTTGCCTTGTTCATTTTATATTTTTATTTTACGAGACGAAAAACTGCTTTTATTATTCTGATGATTTGACACTTAGAATTTATTTATTATTATTATAATTGTAATTACAAAGGTAATAAAGATTGCACAGGGTTTCTTTAGGGTTTCTTCTTTAAACTGATCTCATCTCGCCTTGCTTTTCGTCTTTTTCCTAAAAATCTTTTTGCGTCCGTATAATAAGTTACATGATTGTAGCTACAAAGCAGCGGGCGGAATTTCAAATGGCAATGGCAAAGATAATTAAATAAACTGGAAGAGCTTTTAAGTCAGTAGCCAGTCCCCTCCCACCTTCGAAATTATGCTTGAAATGACAGCTGTAAGGGATGTGTATATGTACGGTCTTGAAAATACACAAATATTCAACGTCATTAGCTGCATTCAATGTCATTTTCCTTTCCTGTTCGTGTGGTCCCAATCCGTATCCACCACTTTGTCATTAAATAATATACACACCTGATTGCAACTTTACAAAGCCTATTTGTATTTTTTAGCTTTTAATTTTTTTGTTGCCTTTAATTGAAAACCAGTTTCGACCTAACCCCAGTAATAGGAGTAGCTTAGGCAGAAATTGAATTCTTCCTTTTAAAGGACGGGGTTTCCCATCGCCGCGAAGTAGGATTGGGTAATTATACCATACAAGGTCCCAGCCCGGCCGGTTCCTTAAACGCTGACGGCGCGGGACAAAACTTGCGGAATGGATAATGGATAGCACAGCCCATTAAGCGAAGAAGGGCCGCCAAGTCAAGCTGCACACCAGTCAGTGCACTCTTTAAAGCGCTTAAAGTGATCCGTAAAATAACGTGGTGTTAAGGTAGTCATTACGTGTCAGCGATAAGTGAACATCCAGTTACTTGGAGTTTCTAAGTTGACTGCTGGGCAACAAGATGTACTTGAGATTTGTTCGTGGTCTGGCTTCTTTCAATTTTGGCAATTAATTTTGTCGAAAGCAAAATGACACCATGTAGCTTAAACTTTTTAGTATCTCTCTGACTCTTTAGCTGTCACTGACCTTCAACTTTATATTTAATTGCACGATTTTAAGATAATATTCAGGAAAAATTAAAAAAATTAATTTATGCATGCTCAAGCCTAACTTTCTAGCACTTTTAATTCCAAATAACTCAGCGTTCATATACAAAAAGACCACAGTTGAGCTAACTAGGCATCTCTAGAATCGACATGCTTTACATCACCTTTTTATCTCTTATTGTCCCTAAAATCTCAGCTATTGATCCTGATCAAGAATATATATATTTTAAAATTTGACAAATAATTTACAAATTTTTTACAGATTAATAGGTATTCACAAATAAAAAAGTATTTACAGTTAAACCAAACCTTTAACGTTAATATAATAGACGACTGTTTTTTGTTGGGGCTTGTGGGCGTCACCGGTTCCAAAAAAAGAACGTGATGCTCACACCGACAGGGAATCGCACGCACTAGAATTTAATCGTTTAAAAAAATATAATATTAAACCGATTTATTCATTTTTAATTTTTAGGAGAACGACCCTATAAATGTCACCTGCCAGATTGCGGTCGAGCTTTCATACAACTTTCGAATCTTCAGCAACATTTACGTAACCATGACGCTCAGGTAGAACGTGCAAAAAACCGTCCATTCCACTGCAACATTTGTGGAAAAGGTTTTGCCACAGAATCTAGCCTGCGAACACACACATCTAAGGTAAGTACGATTTATCATTAAAACTCCCTCATTTGCTCTTTCGATCCTTTCGTAACTTAATTCACTACGACTTACAAACAGGAGCTGCAGCTGCACCTAGGTGTCCTGCAACAGCATGCCGCCCTAATAGGTGGTCCTAACGCCACGTCCTGCCCTGTGTGCCATAAACTGTTCCTTGGTACCGAAGCTCTTGTGGATCATATGAAACACGTCCATAAAGAAAAAAATACTGCCCCTGGTGGATCAGGTAAAGACCAGATTTTAAATAATTTAATTTAATAAATTTCAAAGGCATAAGATCAAATATATTTCTTAATTTAAGAAGATTTTCATACAAAGTCAAATATTTACAATCGAGTGAAATATTTAGGTAAGACATCTGAATATTTCGTGATCTTTTTCTTATAATATATGAGGTAATGGATTTATTCGATGTAAAAAAATTAATTTTTCTACTCGTTACTTAGAGTACAAATTAGAAAGCTGGTATGTATAATCTTGAGATGCCATCGCATTTCATTATGGTCGAGTCGAGTGCCAGCGCATCTCACGGTGGTACAAAAGTCCGGCCACGGTAGACGCTTTTTCTTAAAACAGTGAAATATCGGTAACTATAAGTGTCCATCACTTATTTGTTTAATGTTCAATTTATGGCTATAGCGTCCATAGTATTAAATTGTATGTATTCCTTATGGCTTGTATAACTTTTTTCGTAAATATCTGTTGATTTACCAAAAATTTTCAAATACATTTTTCATCTTGAACTGTCTTAACCTGTCTAAACTGTCCCTATAAACATCTCGGCTTCGGTAATGTAAGAGAAAGAAACCCAAAAGGTCACGTTTTACGTTTTTTTTTTAAATATGCACGGAATAGAATAATTTATATTTATTCGGTCTACTCGTATATCTATAAACAGAAATACATTTTTTAATCGAGCAATTACTTTAGGTGTTTTTCAAAGTCAAGACAATTAGGCTTTAAAATTTTAATTTAAATTTCAATTTCTTGTAGTATGTAGTCGTCTCTTAAGGATTTTCTGAATCTTATATAATATTTTATAGACATATTTGACCTGAAGCCTAAAGTTAATATCAACTTTCATTGTTACTTACAAGTAAAATTTCAACTATTTTATTTAATCGTCAAAACAATACAAAATCCAATAAAAAACAAGAGGAAACGCTATAGTCGAGCGCCGCGACTATAAGATACCCGTTACTGTTTTACACAATTTTAAAATATTAATTTTGCTAGTGGAAATTCACAAGGCGCCACCTATTGTCAGAGGAAGTATGTTGAGTATGCTTATAGTGACGTCACTGCCCATGTGAGGCCTTATAACTTTAATTTCTTTATAAATAGCAAAATAATGTTCTTTGGTAAATCGATAGATATTACCAGAAATAAGGTATACTCGTTCAAGGTCAAACGAAGGCATTCATAGTAATATTATAGACGCCACAGTTTTCCGCGGTTTGTGGGCGTTAGAGTGGGCGTGGCTTGATCGGAAAAAACCAATTCGCATTGGGAGCATTATAAAAACTTACATGCTTGATCCGAACTTTCTATCTCTTACAGTTACCGAGATATCAACTTTTCTAGAAAATCCGAAAACGGTCTTTTGAGCCTTGTGGGCGTATGGGTAGGTGTGGCCGGATAGTAGAACCACAATAAGATGCGCTAGCATCTAAAGATTATACTTTCTGAATTTCAACTTTCTAGCTCCAATAGTTCCTGAGATTTTAGCAATTTTAGTTTTTTGCGATTTGTGGGTTAGAGTGGGCGTGGCAGGATGCGGAAATAAACTTGCGCTGTCCCGGGACCTCAAGAATCTTTATGGTTAATCTCAACTTTGTATCTGTTGTAGTTCCTGAGATCTCAGCGTTTATACGGACGGACGGACGGACAGACGGACATGGCTCAATCGACTTCGCTATTGATCCTGATCAAGAATATATAAACTTTATAGGGTCGCAAACGCTTCCTTCTATCTGTTACATACTTTTCAACGAATCTAGTATACCCTTTTACTCTACGAGTAACGGGTATAAATATATGGAACTTATTATTATTATTAACAATAGGTGGATTTTTACGACAATGTTAATTTTGTATTTTTCTGGTCAGCCTTATCTCATTTCAACGATCTGAATCAGGACGCTACAGGCAGTGAGAGCGGAAATGGAACTGGAACTACCAACGAACAGATTTCCGCGCAATGCACTTCTGAATCTAACTGCGCTCAGAGCTCTCAACTGACTACAGCTGGTTGCTCCAATTTTATCGACAGTTATCTAGGCAAAAGAAGGACAGCGAACCATCCCTGTCCAGTATGTGGCAAACATTACGTCAACGAGGGATCCCTAAGAAAACATCTAGCATGCCACGCCGAGAACTCTCAACTTACAAACAGCCTGAGAATGTGGCCGTGTAGCGTTTGCCAGGCAGTCTTTACTCATGAAAATGGTGCTACACTAAGTCATCTATACAAAAGTGAAATCGAAATAATCCTTTTCTTTTTACAGGCCTTCTAACACACATGGAATCGATGCGCATGGATCCGAAACATCAATTTGCGGCTCAGTACGTTTTGGTATGTTTTAAGCTGTTTTTAACTCATATCATAATAAGAATAAATAGAAGAAATAAATAATTTCGTTTTATAAAATTTTATGATCAGTCTCGAGCAGCTGCGGAACAACGGGAACGGGAATCCCTCCTAGCTGTAACCTTGGCTGCCAGCAGTGCCACCGGTAACAGAATTGGAATTGTAGATGCCGGAAACGTTTTGCCAATGGGTGCCCACAATTCGGAGGGATCAATCTCAAAGTGTCCTTCACCTTCCGCAAACTCCGAATGCTCTTCGAACGGTCGTTTAACGTCGTCAACAACGTCTGATCAAGATCAAGACGTCGAACATGGATTGAGTGAGAATGAGAGTAGCAACCAGAACAACGTAACCAGCCTGAATAACAACAATTGCACATCCAACAACTCCAGCTCAAATAAGATAGCTGAGCTTCGACTTCCGGGATCAGGCCAATATCCCATAGATGCAGATTTGCACGTTGCTAACCGAATGTCTCTGATGGCCGCAGCTGCCGCAGCCGTTGCTGCTTCGCGGCCACAGGACGGAGTCGAAGCCTCAGCAGTACCCAGCGCGGCGGTGCAAGCAGCTGTGGTTAATTTGGCCGCTGCCATGCGAATGAACAATCCTACTAGCAATGGCCCTAGCCCTTACCAACAGCATGTAAGTATCCCATATTAAGAAATTTTCAATTAGAAGGATTGTAAATTTAAATGGTTTTGAATTATTTACAATTCGTTTTTTAATTGATTGATTGATCTAAAATATTGAAAATCATTACAATCTGTAGTGCGGTTCGCACTGAGGGACACTATGGTGCGGTGTTGATTCCTAACCAGGGGCATAAATTAGAATATGTATATATGGAACTATCATATCAACAATAAATTAAAAATTTAGATTATTTTTTTAAAACAAAATAAACCTTTAAATGTAAGTTAAATATACGGGGCTTATAAATTTTAAATACTAATAATTTAAAAAATCTGAAACTTTTAAAAACAATATTGCGATCGCATTTTTATCAAATGAAGAAAAAATCGTTTAGACGCTTTGACCAGATTTGAATTAATTTATTACGTTAATTTTGCATAGGCTTTTGATTTTTAAATTTTGGATATTTTCTACTCCATATACATTCTCAATCAATTAATTATTTCGATTTTGTATTTAACTTTACAGCACGGTGATCACACTCATTCACACCATTCTCATCCTCATCATCATCAACAAAACCAACAGCAACAGTTGCCCCATTTGCTGGTACACACTCACCCCAGCAACAGCAACTCGCGCTCACAGCGGTCTCCAAACTTAAATGTGCCAAATTTGCAGAACGAATCATCTGCAATGAACATAAATGTGCATATGATGCGCGGTGGCCTCGACCCTGATCAAAACCAAGGAGGAATTCATGATATAGACGTTCTTCACCAACAGCAGCAGCACCACCAGACGTCCAACTTTTCGCAGCACGCCGCTGCTCCTACAAATCTACAAACCCCATCACACCCCCAGGCGCATCACACTTCCCACCACCATTCGGATTCGGATACAGCGCTCCGTATGCACCAGGCTGAAGTGATTTTGCGGTCGCATTCCGAAGCTGCGTTTCGACTAGCAACTGCCAGTGGTCCTGGTCCTGGAGTAAAAAGCGACAACAACAATGCTAGTGTAATGCCTAGCAACAACGACCATCAACATAGATTTCATTCGCAGTCGCATCAACAGGAACATCAAATGCCATCCAACTCATGAAGTTCGGCGATTGAGTCCTCTGGGACAGATGTGGATTGAGGATAAACACAGAATTGAGTACAACGATTTCTTATTGCTTCGATTGCGTTTGAAACAATAGGATTTAAGACATTTGAATGCGTAAGCATGTATTACTAATTTAATTTCTGGACGAGATATTGATGCAAATTATTTTATGTTTGTATGTATGTTTAAGCAGGCAACATAGGCCTAAGCAATAAAGCGACCCCATTCATTGTGCAATAGTATAACCAAATGTCAATGTGTGCAGATAAATATATGTAAAAACTTTTGTGTTATGTTTACGTTTATTATAAGAGTAAAGATAAATGCCCTAAAATTTAACCAGAATTTTATTGGTCTATAAAAATTTAAAGGTAATAATTCAGGTGTAACAACGAAATCATTAAAGTGTTTTTTAAGTATTTTAATATTTACAATCTGCATTTTAACCATGTGTAAATTTTATGGTTTATGTTAAGACAACACCCAGCCGGTATAAATAGAATTTTTGGTCTATTAGTGGTAAATAAAGTGGTTTAGGTGGCTTAAGTTCCTATTATTTTATTTTTAATCCGCGGCTTTTGATTTCTTGATAGTTTCTGATAATCTACTGGAACCAGTTTAGATTGTTCTAAGCGTTACCATTTGTTGTCTTGTCTTTTCAACTCTTTTAAGCAAGCACAATATAGCACCAACGAAGCGCAATGTGATTTTATTAGCAGGACACGCCCACTTGCTGCGAAAATTTGTGGCATCCATAATATTAAAGTTTATGACAGTCACGTCGCAGTTAACTTATAAATATGCTTTTTATGGTCCTGGAAAAGAGTAGAGCTAAGTGAATATTCTACACGGCGTCAATTTCTGCTAGCAAAATGACTATTTTAAAATTGGTTATAACAGTAACGTGTTCCTTGTTTTTATAAAGATAAGATAATTGCTGTTGATAATTAGATTAACATTTTTATTGAACTTTTATTTTATCTTTATAACCAATAGTCGGAGAGTAAAAATGTATTCTATATTATGTGAAAGGAGTGTAAGATGCCTCTTCGACCCTTATTCCCATCTACCTATTACAAACTCTTATTAATACAAAAATACATCTGCTTGGAAGTATAATTATTTATATTATTCAAATGTCTTTATACCTGTTACTCGTAGAATAAAAGAGTATATTGTTCTCGTTGAAAAGAATGTAACAGGCAAAAGGAAGTGTTAGTGTTAGGTTAGTTTTTAAATTAAATTTAACTAAAAACATCGCGGTTTTCATTTAGCAGATTACGATACCTAGAACCAACAAATAAACCATCTTAATAATTACCTAATATGCTAATAGTCAAACTTCTTAAATTGAAACCATTGTCATACTTTCGATTTACTGAAACTTTGAGTTTACTAGGTGTGTTCAAAAATTGAGATACTCATTTTTGCGGGCAACGTATTTTCGATCTTTTGTTTTATTTTTTTGTACACTTTTTTAAATACCTGTACCAAGTTCCAAGTTTATAGCATTTTCTGTTTGACTGTACTCGGTGATCGGCGATTTTGTTTTTTTTTTTCGGTCGGACGACTACATTTTTTTAATAAACGTCTGTTCTGACGTCATTCAACAGCTCTTTTTAAGCAAGACCGTCCAGTTTTATTGAGGATATACTCCCTCATATAGTGAGATAATAATAATTTAGATTTTTTTCTATATTAAAACACAATTTTTTAATAGAATGAATAATTTATTGTCCAATACGAGTTAATTTAATAAAATTAAAAATCCAAAAAACGTTACATACATACAATCTGTACTTAAAGAAGTTCTGAATAATATGATTTTGCGTTAGCCGTATTTTATAAATGGCGTAATCTTACTTTTTGTCAAGCTTAAATTGCTTAAGTACTTTCAATTTAAGCATTCAATTGTGATTTAAATTAATATTGTTTCTGCGATAAGCAATACTAATTTGCATCATCAGGGTATTTTCTTGTAAAAATAATGCCCAAACGCGGTTTTCACAGTTACATCCATGAACGAATACCGTTCGCACCGATCTGAAATGCAAACCCATTGTCACGAACCAGGAAGGGTTAAGATCTTATAATATCATTAAAGTATTTAAAGAAGATCAATTTATGAAATAACTATTAAAGAATATATACAGCCATTCTACCTAAAAATCCAATAAAGTCCAAGTCATTTTCGGGTTCCTAATTAAAAATTGCCAATAAGAAAATGTTTCTGACAAATTTTAAAACATTTGTTTTAAGAAACGAAAACCCAAGCACCCTTGTATACATGCAATAATTTTTAGGCAGCTGCATTAAGTGGAATACATTTTTTTATGCTAGACTTTACATTTATAGCGTTATCTCTTTACCTATGTATGAGAAAGATACTACTTAATTGGGTGGTTATTCATGCAATCCGTTGCGTCCACGTTTGTGAGGCGAACAAAATGAATTCGAAACACTGTTTGTTCCAATAGTTGATCTTTCCTGTATACGTTTTAAATTTGTCGAACTAGACGGCATTTGTAGTTTTGTAGATGAGGGATCTGCAAATATATTTTTGAAAAATGTACAAATTAATTACTAAATAAAACGAAAAGCTATTATATACCCATTACCCACTTTAAGTATAATTATGATAAATTATTTATAAAGTGACGGTGAAGTCGCCGCCCATGTGAGGCCTTAAACCAAAATTATGTTTATTATAATTTAGGATAATCCTTGATTTCTATACCCTTTACTCGTAACGAAATTCAGTATGTATGTATAATCTTGAGATGACAGCGCCTCTTATGGTGACACCGCTATCCGGCCACACCTACTCTTACGCCCACCAAGCTCAAGAGACAGTTTTCGCATTTTGTAGAAAAGCTTAAGTGATAGAAAGTTCGTATTAAATTGAGAATTTCCACTAGCAAATTAAAATTGTGTAAAACAGTAAAGGGTATCTTATAGTCGCGGCACTCGACTATAGAGTTTCTTCTTAATATTATAAACGACACAACGAAGGTGACAGCATTGTTATAAAACTTGTGCTAAAGAGGCATCTTAAGAATCTTAACGGACAGATGTGGCAAAATCGTTTCGGATATTTATCTTGTATTTTTTTTAATCATTATTCTTCTATATCTTTTCCGCTACTTCTTACCACCTGGTGGACCCTTCGAGTAACTAGTATAAAAATAATCAAAGGCATACCTTGAAGCCATCTAACTTGTGTAGCTGGACCATAACCTTTTTGATTTCGAGCAGCAATCCGAAATATAATTGCTGGTTTATTTGAGCAATCAACGTGTGCATTGGATAGTGAAGCGTTTGGCACTGTGCATTGATTTGCAGAACCAACATATACGCGCACAAAAGCCAACTGAGGTGTGGCCAAAGCCCTATCCTTTGCAGCTGGTTTGACCGCAAGGTATACAGAATATTCAATTATCTCCTTAGTTTTTTGAGCCGGAGGTGGTTCCCATGTTAAGTGAGCGCCCTCCTTGACATCCTTTGAAATCTTAATAGCCGAGGGGGCGCCCGGAAAGCCCGGTAAACATGTTTTGAAGCTTGAAATCTGAAAAATAAAAAAAAACGCATTATAAATATTTCTAGTGATGAGCTTGGATTATAATAATTATTTGAACTTTAAAACACGAATTCCTTTTCATTTATTTCTTATTTTTTTCATAATTACTTCAGGAAGAAACTAAAAAAAAAGTGAATTTTAAAAACGTATACCTTTTACTATTACTATATTTCGGCGTCCATATATTAATGTAGATTGTACAGCTCCAAAAACGCCTTTTAACGAATATTTCATTTTTTTCAATTACTACAGCCAATGCAAAGATCTTGAAACTATAACAAAACATATCACCGAGATATTACACATTAACGATAACCAAATAACGATCTAATTACAGAACCTTAAAAAATTTAAAGCACTTTACACAGACACAACTAAGTTTATTGGAAACCAGGTAAGGAGCTAGAAGATGACCTCATATGGATCGCCACTAAGATTAATAATTATCCTTCTATTTATTTTTATGTATTCTAATAACATAATTATATTGGTTACTCGTAGAGTAAAAGGCTATATTGTATTCGTGGAACAACTACAAAGTAGGGATTAAGCATGCAGATTTTTGAGAGATCTAAGGAACTATTAGAGATAGGGAGTTAGGAGTAAGAATGTATAATCTTGAAATTGCAGCGCATCTAAAGGTTTCAGAATTGGATAAGACCGTAACGGGTATATTATAATCGCGGTATTAGTCTACAGCGATTCTTGTTTGTTTAATTTAATTTGCTGGCATTAAATAAACATATATTTTTATATAAATACAACTTAGAAAAGTTGTTTTTTAAAATTATTAAATCGAAAAATCAGCAAAAAATTGTGTAATTTACAAACCTCTCCCCACTCTCCTCGGCCACAAGTGTTGATAGCACTTAGACGAAAACGATAAGCCGTTCCAGGGTCCAAATTGGTGCGCGGAAATTTGCTTAAATCTGGAAGATTATCCACGTCAATATTATTAAGTAAGGCGTCACTTATGAAATTTGAATCAATATAGGTTGTGACAGTATGCGAGAGATCCTTAAATACGCCTACTGTATGCCATTTTTGGTTTTCGACTTGCGACTTGTTCGGGAAAACAACAGAAGCTGAGGTGGATTGAATCTATGGGGAAAGTTTTAAAATTAAATTAAAAATGTATTTCATTTTTTTTTTTAATTATATCGTACACAGTTCTGACAAACAAATTCTATAAAATAACTAACTAAATAACCAATACATGCATGTCTTAGGCTGTATATAAAAAAATACTTATAGTTTTTATGCCTAATATAGTAATTTAGAAAACATAAATAAAAACTTTAATAAACTAATTTTAAATATAAATTACAATTTTAAAATACATAACAACTAGGTTTGTAAATACTTAAAAATGGGACATACATTGGTTTGTTGATTATCACCAACATTGTTACTCCTGATCTGAATCTCACTTTCCGGTCTTTCTATTAACTCTTTCATTGCTAAACCAGCAGTTGCCAACGGTGTAGCGTCTGCCGTCGCAGCTTGCAGAACTGCAGCTGAGGCCAGAGCGTCTAAGTGCGATCCATCGACTAGGTAAATATATGATATGAATTTCTATAAATAAAAAGATTCACATTAATTCATACCATTTTGATATTGTTGTGGATTCTGGGAAGTTGTGAACAGTGGGGTTTCATGTCCTTGTTTAATTTTTGGATCCTCATTTTGATCATCTGAACTTTCTACACTAAAGACGCCAGGATCCTTGCTTAGTTCCGTACTTCCCAACACTAAAACTTCAGCCGACTTTATTGTGGTCAGTATGGCAGCAGCTTCAGTTTCCAAAGTTGTCGGCTGTTGGCAATTATCGGAAGCAGGTTTCGACTTAACCTATGAAGATTTAATTTTTCTAATTATATACTATTAATAGAATAAGTAAAAACTTAAATTTGGTACAAATTTAGCCATTAATCATTACCAAAATAGTAAAATAAAAACATACAAAACAGCGATAATTTGGATTATAGCTGATAATTATCTAAATACAGTATTTTCAAGAAACATAAAACGAAAAAAAATTTTACTTTTTTTCTTTAATTTTTTATGTAAGTTATAAAATTGAAAAATTCAATTGAAACCATTATAGTCAAATCGGTTTATTCTCGTTTCTCCTACGTAAAAACACTTATAGGCTTACCATGGATTCCATATTATCATTTTCAACTCTTTCCATTATCGTTTCCCTAGCGCCAGTTGTGCTGCTGACCCCGGAAACATCTTCAAGAATATCAACATGATGTCCCTCAACTATGGCATTAAGCGCTCGCGATGGTGCTGTTATGTCTAATCCAGTCAATATTGGCGGTGGCAATGATGATGACGTAGCATTGTCATCATTAATTTCTTCCTCATCCCGGTGTTGAACTGCACTTGTGGCAAGTTTTAAAAGATCTCCGGCTCCATCCAACTGCTCAATAATATCATCTATTGATTCAGTATCCTTCATAGAAACGACAGGAATAATTGATTCTGGCATGGTTTCCTTCATTGATTGCGTTGGTGATATTATTTTTGCGCTCACGCTTTTAGTTGCTAGTGTGACGGCACGTGGACTTCCTCCGGTATTAAAAACAAAACTTTTTCTTGCATTTAGATTTGTAGTAGAAACTACAGAATTCGTAGAGCTTGCTCCTGGTAGCAACATTACTTTATTTGAAATGTTTCCAGAAGTAGGCATACTTGTATTGGCGCTCATAACAGTAACGGCTTTCCCTCCAATATACAAAGCCGTTTTTTGATGGATGTGAGTGCCGCTTGGTTTCTGTCCAATAGCAACTGGAGTCGATGTTTGTACCGATGACGTATTTCGCAGCATCTTTACTCCACTTTGGTTGGATATTAAAGTTCTTTGCCCACTTATAGTCTGAAGCGGACTAGACGTTGTTGAAGTTGAGCTAACAATACTTACAATATTTGTGCCTGATGTAGTGCCACCAGCACTAGTCATAACCGTTGTAGATGGAACTGTTCTGACACCACTACCAGTAGTTACAATAATGATTTGCTGATTTCCCAATTGCGCTCCCTGTTTATTTGTAATGACAAATGCTGGCTTTCCTCCAATTACGTTCGGCGTTACCTTGCCCATTTGTAAAATGTTTGAATTCTTCATAATCAATTTACCGCTTGCCACCGTATGGGGCGATACCAGTTTCAGAACGTTGCCAGAAACAATGGGTTTCTGAAGTTGATTTCCTGGTATTACCGATCCCTGTAAAATAAAAAAATATGTTCAATAATTCAAATTAAAACAAGAATAAACACTAAAGTCGAGTGCCGCGAGTGTAAAATACGGTTTATTATTATGCTTAATCCCAACTTTCCCGTACATATAGCTACCGAGATATCAGGGTTTCTACAAATAGCATGCTTAATCCCAACTTTCTATCTCTTAAGTTCCGGACAGACTGTCATGGCTTAATCGGCTATTGGCTATTGATCCAGACCAAGAATATATACTTTATAGGGTCGATAATACTTCCTTTTAGCTGTTACATATTTTTCAACGAATACAATATACTCTTTTGCTCTAGTATTGGGTCACGAGTTTAAGATACTTATAGCTTCACTAATTTTACAACGTATAAATTACCAGAAGAAAAGGCATCTGTAATTTTAATACAGTCGTTTTTGACGGCATTTATATATATATATTAAATTAATTATATTATATACTTTTTTTTATATTTATAAAGTTAGCTAGATTACTATAACTTAATAGCTTACTTGATTTTGATTACTTCCAGACACCAACTGTTGACTTGCGATTGGAATACCGTGAGGGGAACTTCCTTTGGGTACATTTAAGTTAACTTTGGGCAGTGTTTGAACGGTCATCCCCCCACTGCTGGTTTTAACAAATTGTAGCTGAACATTAGGAGCGAGTGTAAGAGGCTTTTGAATAAAGTACTGTTTTCCACCAATGGACTTGGTTCCAGATGCCGAAGTCTGCGATTGCAAAACAGCAGTTGATGGGGCCGCTTTTAATATATTGACTGCTGCACTACTTCCGCTGCTGATTACACCCGGTTGAGCGGGAGCGAGGCGTAATGTTTGAGAAGCAGTTACGCTAGGTACAATACGCAACCCCGTACTTGAGGCTGCAGAATTGAGAACGACGTTTGTAGCCATCGCAGTTGGTACTCGTAAAGCTAGAGGGTCAGCTACACTAGTAACACCAGTTACGGTGTTAGTAGTAGGTGATCTTACTGCAGTAACAGTTGGTCGAAACTTTTGCAATAAGCTACTAACGGTGCTACTACTGGACGCGGTGGTACTGGCAACTTTCGCAGTACTACTGATTACAGATATTTGAGGTTGAGCAGAAGCGGCAGAAGTGGTAAAGTTAGTTCCGATCGATGAAATAAATTTTTTTTTAACGCGTGTTGTAGGCGATGAAGGAGGCGAAAAGGTTTGCAACAAGACATTTCCAGATCCATCCGTTTGGATTGCATTTTTTTCTAAATTCAGAACTGCTGACGTTGCTACGATTCCCGGAGTCAAGGCGCTTTCAGAACAATTTTCTGCAACGTTTGTTCCAGAAGATTCAGCTGGTGTTGTTGTTCCTTGCTGAACAATGTTCTGACTCACGGGTTTTGAGATCGTGTTTGGTGGCTGCTCGATTTTTTGGATTTGTAAAACATAGGCTGCTGCAAAAGTGGTCGCAGACCATGAAAGCTCCAGGGCATGCGTAGAAGCGCGAACGAGCGCAACTTTGACTGCATATAGCGGTTTAGAGACTTCTAAATACCATAGGTCCTTGCAGCAAACCTGTAAGGATTTATAGCTTATACTATGTGCAAAAGTTTTTAATTTAAAAAATATTTATAATGTATACATACATAAATATTATTTATTAAAAGATAAAATATATTTTTATGATATATAAAAACAAAATAAGGATTTAGATTTCTTGAACATCGGAATTTCTACACCTGAACTCTCTTAAAATAATTTGACTATTCAAACGAAAATCAATTGGAAAGTCTCACCCTAACCTGGTTGTTCCATGCTTTCCGGTAACCGTCCCGACCTGACCACACGTAAAGACGACTTTGAATACCAACTGCGCAGTGGCCAGCACGAGCCCGAGGTACATTTTCCTCTACAGTGTCCAATGTAACATTGTTCCAAGACATTGTTTCTGGAAAAAAAATATATGTATTCACTTAATAGAAAAAAATGTGTTTTCTCTACGGGCTCTGTTTGCCAACAATATTGCGAAATAATCGCGTCGTTCCTGTTCTAATTTCCGAAATGGTTTGCTCAATAATTTTAGTAAAATAAATTTCTAAAATTACTGTATTTATTGCACCTACGCATAGAGTAAAGGGATAAAAGGAAACTTTTTCCGATCGTGTTGCCGAATCAATTTTTCCATGTCCGTTTGCCCTTCTAAACGATGAGATTTTGAGATTTATTAGAGGAAAAACAGTTGTTCAGCAGCCGCCGAAGCCGACTCTAAGGCGAAAAACAAAATAGCAGAGATCTTAGAAAAAGAACATAAAAGATGAGATTAAGCAAACATATTCATGAGATGCTACCGCAGCTCAAGGTGCTGTTATCACCAGAACTTATCTTAATCTGATCATAAATGGTATGTTGTTTGTTGTTCCAAAAATATGTCACATACATCGGGTGCCACAACTATAAGAATGTAACGTCACTCCCCATGTGACAACTTATAGCTTATACTTCTTAATAAATCGAGAATTATTATTCCGATTGACAAAAAATTATATACAACATAAGTTCCTGAGATCTCAGCAATTTTTGTTTTTCGTGATTTATGAACGTTAGATTTGCCGTGACAGAATGAAAATGCGACATCGAGCTGCAGTGGAATCTCACTTATAGTTTTTGAGCATGACCGGATGAAATAATAATCATAACTAGAATATAGTTGATGATTTTAGTTCGTGATTTGTGAGCGTTAGATTCGTCGTGGCAGAAAGCTGAAATAAACTTCATTTGCGTAGGGAGAAGAACCTCAAGAATCTGCAACTGTGTATCTCTAATAGTTTCTGACATCTCAGCATTCATACGGACAGACAGACATGGCACAATCGACTTGGCTATTGATACTGATCAAGAATATATACACTTTATAGGGTCGGAAACGCATCGTTCTTACATACTTTTAAACAAATCAATATACCCATTTAATCTACGAATAACGGCTATAACAATGTTATTAACAAAAGGATTATTTTTTTGTTTTGAAGGCTTTTTGATTTATAAATATTACGCTTTAATTGCCGATATGTTCATTAAAACATTTCGTAAACAGATATTATATATATACTATTTTATAAATTGACTTACCTAAATCCAGAACTGCAAGAGTATTTGTACATTTCCATTCCCGTTCTGTTGTCGATTTGGAATCATTAATCACTAAGGGAACCCAGCCTCCAAACACATACATTTTGTTCGCAATCATTGTCGAACTGTGTAATGAGCGTGGTAACGGCGCCTCCCCTAACATTCTTGGCTTCGACCACGTCATTGAGTCTTACAATTAAGTGGACATATTTTTATATATAAATTAAAATGGGTCTGCTAAAGTTACCTGTATCTAACAGCCACAAATCTCCCAAGCGGCACCCACTCATTCCTCCATAAATCAAAAGATTTAAATTTCCAGATTTTGTACTGGCAAATGAAATGCCTGTGTGAGACTCCCGTGGTGGAGGACTTTCCCCATATGTTTTAGGTACTATCCACTTTCCGTTATGACTGTGAACTCCTCGAGTATCCAGTATGTACAAGTCGTTTAGATATCTAGAATATAATATTGTAGTCATGACAGTATCTTGCGTTATTGCACTCAGATGATACACATTACTTTGGAATATTATTTTTTGGGTCGTCCGATTCATTTGCTAGTCCGCCAAACAGAAATATTTTTTCACCAACCATTGTAAAACTATGTCCTAAACGAGGGCACGGTGACGACCCACTGTCCGGTGACTCAGGATACATTTTCCTCCACTCCCATTTGGTGGCCTGTAGCTCATAAAGCTCGTTTGAATATTTTCCATACTCGATCATTCCTCCGAAGACGAACATTCGAGTTCCTTCTACAACAAATCCATAGGCTGCGCATCCATTTGGAACATCTCCTTTTAGCACTGGCACGTACCACTGATTTGTTACTACAATGAAATAAAACAAAGGACGCCACCGCCAACAACTAATAAAAAACAACTTTAAAAAAATGTATGCATATAAGCTAAAAAAGCTCAAAAAAATATTAAGATAAAATTACACTAATTTTAAAATTTACGTCGATAAGTATTGCCCAAAAAAATAGAATTTAAAACGCCCAGAAAGCACAAACTTTGGATCTAACCAAAGTATGTCTTCTGGGTTTTTACTGAGTTCTTTCAAGATATGTAGTTTAGTATGTTTTTATAAAAATACAGGGGTCCACCTCGGAAAAACGATCTCAAAAAGGTATTACCTGAGTAATGTTCGAATAATTCTGAAGAAAACTACCGAAATGAAGTGGAATTGATGCAGAAAGGCTGGGGAGCTATAAGGAATACAACGGCTTGCGCACAAAATACTAAAACCAAAAAGAACCCCTAATAATTAGTGCCAAAATAAAAATTGAATACTTTTTTGATGTAAGATTTCTTAGTTTTCCTGTTTTCCTATGAAAAACGCTGCATTGAACCATGTTTTTTGAATTTTTTTATACTTTAAAAGTTAGTGTAAAATAGTGTTTAATTCAAAACAAAAACTTAAATGAACCTCTTACTAAGCTTACTTTAAGCATTCATTAAGGTGAACGAAACATCCACTAAAGATTATAAAATTTTTGGAAGTGTGCTTTTTTTTAACATTTTATGAAGTGTACGAATAATTTTTGTGCGTAAAAAGATGACTTTTTTGTGTTAGAACGCAAATTATCTAGTATTTAAGTTAAAACTTGGTAATTTTATGTTTAAAATATATGCTCGAAATGTATATCTTTCATTTGAGACATTACATTTCAATTTCCGTTACGTATTTCTCGACTTATTAAGGAATAAACTTGCAACTCATGGGTGTATAGCCGTGTTAACTTATAAAGTAACGGTCTGGTTTAAACTTTGTAGAAAGATCGATACGTACGTATTTACAAAGAATATACTAAATCAAACCAAAATGTTAAAGACTTTTTAAGTGCTCATTCTTTACACTGTTATCTTTAATGTTGATTTTGTTGTTTTAAATTGGAGGTATAAAATAAATTTAATAAATTAATTATGTCACAATTAATAATTTACCAGTATTATAAACGTGCAACTCGTCCACAATTCCTTCGTTTCCACCGCCGAAGACGACCATTAGCTCTTTAATGTTTATCGCACGGTGTCCATGCCTAGGACGCGGCTGCGGTCCTGTGGGGTTAAGTACCCGCTTCCAACGAAACCCGGACAAGTTATTGGTCACGGGACATTCAATATTCTCCTCTACATCCATAGAAATTTGATTATCACAGGAGTGATCTCCGGTTTGATGAATACGATTTATATTTAGATCATCAGATGCAGATAATCGTCCTCCCGAAGAAATCGAAGTGCCCCCGAGTCCTGAACATTCCATATTATGGACAAAAGGGAAATAGTATCGACAATAAATACACAATATACAATAGCAATGAGCTAAAGATGCATTATTTCCAAAATGACGGTTTAGGCTGCAAAAATTTGATTGAAAAGTTCATTTAAATTAAAAAATAATAACAATCATTAAAATTTTAAAAATCTGCCTTAATGGGTAATAAAAATCTTATTAATAATTATTAAATTTACTATTTGTAGGATCGAACGTACAAAATTAATTTACCTATCTAAAAGGGTTCAAAAATACCAAATATTTGTGCGTTTTACTCATTATGCAAAATACTAAATATTTGAAATACTCTATAAGCTCCAAAATTTACTTTAATCTGGCAATGCTGGATATGGACGCTTCACTAGTTATTAAATCTTATTTAAGAACTATCTTTTATCTATTTTATAGATAATATATGTTTTATGCACTCGGTCTTCAATATGAAATACATAATTTAATGCTCTACCAAATATGTATTATTAAGTCTCAAACCACATTTAACTGATTTAGAAATTTATAAAATTAAAAGCCGAACGGAACACAACACGCATGCACGTACTTAGAGATGAAAAATGAAAATAAAGACTATCGATATAATGTTTCAACAAAATATACTAGAATTTGGTTTTACCTATTGGTTCAGAATATTAATTAAGGCACTCATTTGTTACAGTAAAGTACCATTCGCACTAGAGCTTATGATCTCGAAAATATTTATATACTTACAAATACTGAATAGCAACTTTTTACTTCAAGAACGGAACAGGCCACGTACATACACGTTCGTTTCTGCTACAGCACGAATAATCCGCAGACATCGACGCTAGGCAGGCACACGGAAGCTGAATCGTATTACTTGTCCCTTGCTGGGCAAAGATAAAATAAATAAAGTCAGAGAACAGTTAAAAAATTCAGCTCTTCCCTGCGCATTTAGAACTCGGCTAGAATTACGTTGAGGAAGTGGCTGTAGCAATTGGTACAACTAAGACAAACAAAGTTTTTTTGATTAAAAGTTAAATATCAATATTGACTCGACCATCAATATACTTAGAAATAGTAACTCAACCGCAGATACTCGTTTTTTGAAGCAACACATCCCCTTAATAAAATAAAAACAAAATGTAGGTATCAAGACACCATAGAATGACGCTTCAATCATTAGACATCATACAATGCAGATGTGAATTCCATCCAGTTCGAAGTCCATCCCGGTCCAAATCATTAACTTGCCGAAGCAGCCAGCTTGAGGGTCAGCAGACTGCAGATGCACCGAAATTATCTATAATATATAATAATATATAATATATATATATATAATTATATTATTATATAGGGTAATTTATTATGTCAGCTTTTACAGTGAACAGTTATACCGCCTACCAAATTTATTTTAAAACTACTTTTGCTAGATGTTCTAAACGTATAAATTTTGTTAAGTTTCATCATTAAAATCACTCTTAATCAATCAAGATATTTTGCTCATTTTCCGTCGCAATTATCGCCGTTTCTTTGTGTTTCTATGTTCTGCATGCTAACAGTTATCCGCTTTTGATTTTTGGATATCTGGATTTTGACTAACTCTATGTGCAGAAACCTTTTTATAAGTAATTTAAAAGTTAACAAAATATTTTTGTTTTGATTATTAAACGATGCATAAGTTTTTAAGTATATTTAAAGGAAAATGACAAAGGCATTCAAGACTGATAAATATCAAGCATATTCTTACAAAAAATAAAAACAATATCAACAGATTCTAGCCAGTCGCAGGTTTGATTTTATAAGCGTATTACGAATTGTTTATTGTGCCTAAAATTGTGCTATCTACAAAAGACATATTGGTCATGGCACTATACCAGTAGACCATAAAATTTAACTTTTAATATTAAAACTTATTATTTTGCAAGAACAACTGTGAACTTTTAAAAACTTTTTCGACATACATTTTGGCAAGCAATAAAAATGTAATGGTATTTAAAGGTTGCCCAAAAAAATCCTAAAGATATTATATTCTCATTTATCTCATAATAACAATTTAACCCAAAGAATCGATTTAGATTAAACAAATTTAATATTTTATAATAAGCTGTTGGTATAAATATTTTCTTTGAGTACATAGAAATGTTTATGCTACTTATCACTCAGGTAAATGGACGCCGCAGTACTAACGTAATACAGTCAAACAAATGATAACCTGATAACTGCGTTAATCAAGATAAACAGCTGCGCTACTGTCAGATTTTTTCTACAAATACCATCGTAGTGCAGTTGTTGCCGCAGTCTATTGTATTCTTATTCATATGTCGTTTCTCAGTCAGTTATACGAAAAAGAAAGGTGAAGCATAAATGAATGTCGGACCAATTCATACATTTCACATAGACAAAATGAAGAATATTAAATACCAATAATCGATTACTAAGTTAAAAGATCATTTCGATAGTGAACGTTTTCGATATATCGATATTTCCTTCTGCCGAATATTAATATAAAAAAGGCGTCCGAGTGCAGTGTCATAAATTTAGATAAGATATTTAGATATATATCGAGTCATTTTTACTTGAGTCCTGTACAATCCACTGCTAATTGTGTATGTATGTCAACAAAAGAGATATAAGTTAAATTACATGCGAAGGAATTCTGATATTCTGACATGAAACTGTTGTGACGTGCTACTGTGTGTGTATGAATGCATGTATGTATGTATAGACCTCGACTTGTCCGTTTGGAAAGCATAAAATTGATTAATGTGAACGTAGGTAGAACAGAAGCAATATTAGTGTGTATTGAAACATATAATTTACTTCTGCTTTAAGCTTCTTATACATACGTATTTACATTCATTTGAATATAAGTCTTATTCCAATGCCAATGTGGCTTATCCAAGTGCAAATATGTACATAAGTATGTAGCTCATGTTGTGGCGAATGACGTAAGATTCCTGATTGCTGAGTGTCAATGACATGATACTAAAGACTTTTATGTATTTTTTTATAACTATTGATATTATTCGAATTTTAATGAAACGAAGAGAAAAAACGAATGGTATGTACATATAAAGAACGACCTGCCTCGTTACACCTATTTAGATGTACCACTTATATCTATTATATATGATATCCGCTATATTCGTATTACATTTTAATGCACTCAAAATTGTGTAGCTGTGGGCGTTCTTACAAATATATAAATCTGACTAGATACATACATATATCAACAAAAGTATCTATTTATGGAAAACTTTTTAAATAATCCCTTAGATAAAAGTTGGCGTTTCTTACAGGTGTGTTTATTCAAACAGTAGATCTAGAAGAAGTCTAATTTTATTGCGGCTATATCAAATATGCATATATAGTAAAAAAAAAAATTCTAAAAAATTAAATTATACTATGTAATTTTCCTCTTTTGTTTTAAATACAACACTTTTTCCTATGTCGTCTAGAGCATATGCAATTAATTTATGTTGATAAAGATGTCTACCCAGCGAGCAGTTTGAAGTTAGTTTCTAAATGTCTGGTTTTAACGACCATTTTACTGTTAAAATAACTAAAATATTAATGAAATAATTTAATGGGTGACTCAAAAAGCAGTCGTATCTAGATTAAAAATCGCTAGTAAATGTTTTCAAAATATGAAGTAACAAAAACGATATAAAAAGCAATCGAAAATTGATAATCTAGATTTCTGGTCGCTGTGAAACAGCTTCTCATCTAGTTTGCCTTTTTCAAATGGTTTATTTCTGCACAAATTTCATGCACGCGCTCTTAGTTTCCGCACTTTTATATATATTGGATTCGTTAAAAAGTATGTAACATGTAGAAGGAAGCGTTTCCGACCCTATAAAGTATATATATTCTTGATCAGTATTAATAGCGAAGACGATTATAAGGTTATAATCTGGTTATAAGGCCGCACATGGGCAGTGACGTCACTTTCAGTTACTCAACATGCTATCTTTGACAATAGGTGGCGCTTTGGGAATTTCCACTAGCAAAATGAATATTTTAAAATTGCATAATACAGTAACAGTAACTTATAGTCGCAGCATTCGACTATAGCGTTTCTTCTTGTTTTATAGTTCTTCAATATATTTTATGAAAGCCACGTTAGTTTGACTTTAAAGTCGTGGTCCTAATTGACAATATATAATGTATTAATATTATTCATTTTGTCTGTATGAACGGCGGAATTCTGGGAATTTGTAAAGCTTTAAAGTTTAAATTAGGCATGAGCTGAGTAAATTTATTACGTGGTTCGATATTCATCAAAAATAAAAAATGGTCTCAATTGGTTTTTACTGGTATACTTTTGACGTCATTGAGTTTTATCAGGTTGAAAGCTTATCATCGTGTCAAGTAAAATGTGTTTCATAGTACTTTGAAAGGTTTCTCTGGAGTAGCCACTTAACACTAAATTCAATCTACTTTCATCTAGACGACAAAGCTTCGTACACTTCATATTTCGGCATTAAAGAATTGGTGCTTGTAGCAAAATGAATTACATATATTATTAAACTATTTGAAGTTTAAATCCTTTCAAGGATAAGAACATATCTTCAGCTAATTAACTTGTATATTTTTATTAACTATAAACCTAATGGAAATTTTTATAATTACAATTCGTTATATTAAAGTTTAAATATTTTGCAAAGTATCTAAAAATTTATAGTTGTATTAGAAATATTATTGCTCAAATACTTTGTTAACGGAAGTATTAAAATAACTAACAGAAATTGACGCCGAGTAACTGTGACGTGACTTTGGGGATTCCACTTATATATCTGAAAGTCTATACATTAATTATTAAATTAATTGAATGTCTAGCAACTCCGTAGAATTGATATATTTTATCGCCTCATAAATGTAGCTTCCCCACAAGAGCCGCGACTAAGAAATACCCGTTACTGTGTTTAAAAATTTAAAAATGAAAAAATAAGAAGAAACGCTATAATCGAGTGCCGCGACTTTAAGATACCCGTTACTGTATTACACTATTTTAAAATATTAATTTTGCTAGAAATGACAAAACACCACCTTTGAAAAGCTAATGGAGACGTCATTGTTCATAAGAAGTGAGAATTATAATAAATAAATGTTTAAATGTTTTACAAGGTCAAGCATACATTTTAATTTTTTGGACGCCACAGTTTTTCGCTGTTTGTGGGCGTTAGAGTGGGCGTGGGGGAATAAATATACCACTTTAAGCTGCAGTGGTACATAAAAAATATGTATTCTTGATTCTGAGTTTCTAACTCTTATAGTTACCCAAATCTTAGCGTTTTGGGTTACCATATTTTGTGGGCCTTAGAGAGTGTGTGTGGCTGGTTGGAAAAAAATAATACGCATTTGGGGCATCATTAAATACATAAAATACATGCTTAATTCCAACTTTTTATCACTATATGTAGTTGCCGAGATATCAGACTTTCTACAAAAAGCAAAAACCTTATTTTGAGCTTGCGTTGTCATCTTAAGATTATTCATTCTTAATCCCAACTTTCCAGCTCTAATGGTTCCAGATAATTCAGTAATTTAATTTTTCGTGATTAGTGGGCGTTAGAGTGGCTGTGGCAGGGTGCTTAAATATACTTGCAAGAATCTGTTTACTTAATCTGAGACCTTAGCGTTTCTACGGACAGACTGACATGACTTAATCGACTTAGCGACATATGTCCGAACCATAATAAGTATTTTTATTAACTAATGGTACGCCTCTAGTAAGACCTTCTAACCTACTTTTATTTTGTTGAAATAAAATTCAGATTCCAAGACTTTTTTGGTAAATGGAAAGGCAAAAATGTGAAACCAAAACCTTAATTTTTGTATAATGGACACAACAGTTTTCACCAGTTGTCATCTCAAGAATATGTATTCTTTATCCCAAATTTCAAATTCTATATAGAGAATATTATTGTCGACAGCCAGATGAACGGAGATGGATCAGGAGTTCAAATAGAACTTTTAAAGAATGTGTTGGTGGCAATTAACTTTAAATGTCTCAGTGTAATAATTTTTTGTTGTTACTCATAAGTAAGTAAGTAAGCTTAAAACAAGTAAGTTATATATAAATATATATTTATTTATATAAATAGACTGAAAGTTAATAAGAATAAAAATAATTAACAAGAACAAGAAAGTATAAGAAATAGTCAATTTTTATATACTTTTCAGACGTTGTAAATAAATTAAATCTATTTTGCCCACAGATTAGACCAAAACAAATGGCTACTATAGATGGGAGACCGGCGCAATATGGTATTTCACTTAAACAACTACGAGAGCTCATGGAGCATCGTGGTCGTGAAGGTGTTATGAAGATTTCGGAATTTGGTGGTATTCATGAATTATGTAAAAAGTTATACACATCTCCCAATGAAGGCAAGTTTTTCTACCTACTATATATATTTATTTTTATAAAATATATGGTGTAACTTAAGGTTTAAGTGGCTCGAAAGCTGATGAGGAGCACAGGCGAGAAACATTTGGTTCAAATGTAATTCCACCGAAACCACCAAAAACCTTTTTGACATTAGTCTGGGAGGCTCTTCAAGATGTAACACTTATTATTTTAGAGGTAGCTGCATTAGTATCGCTTGGGTTATCATTTTATAAACCAGCCGACGAGGATGCACGTAAGTATTTATTATTAATTATACTGGACAAAATGTTTAAAATGCAAAAAAAGATCTTATTTCGTTGTCCGTGTTATAGATTGTTGAATTGTAATTCATTTCATTTTTTTTTTACAGCTGTGCTACAGGAGGAGGAGGAACATCATGGGTGGATTGAAGGATTGGCCATTCTTATTTCTGTTATTGTTGTAGTTATTGTTACTGCTTTTAATGATTACTCAAAGGAGAGGCAATTCCGAGGTTTACAGAATCGTATTGAGGGCGAGCACAAGTTTTCAGTAATACGTGGAGGGGAGGTGTGCCAAATTTCAGTTGGAGATATTCTTGTTGGTGACATTGCCCAGGTGAAATATGGTGACTTATTACCGGCAGATGGATGTCTTATTCAAAGTAACGATTTGAAGGTAAGTTAGAACAGTTAGTAGCCCTAATCAGATTTGCCAATGCAAAAAGTTGACATCTTAAACGTTATTCATTTAAAATCGTTAAATATCATACAATATCATATGAAGTCTTTTCCGAAAAATAATCTATAGGATCGGAAACAATAAAACAAAAACACATCCGTTACTCTGTTAACAAATTTCAAAACTATTTTACGAACGCAAATTAACTTCTTGTGCATATTTTAGGAACCTTTTTTGCTAGAACCTTACTCTAATCTGATGTTAAATTGGCCATTTCTATAGTTGTTCTATAAGCTTATCGTTTGTTTCACAGGTGGACGAATCTTCGTTAACCGGAGAATCTGATCATGTCAAGAAAGGATCAGACATTGATCCCATGGTTCTATCAGGTACGCACGTCATGGAAGGAAGCGGAAAAATGGTCGTTACTGCGGTAGGGGTTAATTCTCAAGCAGGCATAATTTTTACACTTCTTGGGGCGGCAGTGGATGAGCAAGAGGCGGAAATTAAAAAGATGAAAAAGGGTAAGTAAAATTAAAACAATGCATAATAGTTTTTGGCTGATTTCAAACATAGATTCTAAAACATATATTTAATTTAGACCCAATCTTAGTCAGTCCAATACATCTCAATTGTTGTAAGATGATATATATTTTTATTTATTTATTTTCTATTTTGTTGTTTTTTTTTCATATTCAAATTGCCATATATGAATTGCATGACGTGAATTGATTGACCCATCATCCTTCATCTACCCAATCTGTCAACCAACCTACCAAAAATAACCTGCGACCAACACCAACCACAAAACAATCAACAAATATCTACAAAAAATTGAATCGAAAATATTAAAATGATTTAATATTCAGAAGCTAAAAGAGCCAACAAGCAAAAGAGTCTGACAGGTGAATTCTTGAGAAATATTTATAGTTATTTGTTTCGTAATAAACGTTTTTTTTATAAGTTTTATTTAAAATAAATCTTTAATTACAGCGTACGATATATAACCAAATGTTTCTTATAAATTGCATTAGGTCTAGAGGATATCGTTATTTTTGTAAATATATATTTCTTGTGTCTACTTAATTTGAATACCCGTTACTCGGGTAAAAGGGTATATACAGTAAAAGGGTATACTAGATTCGTTGAAAAGTATGTAACAGGTAGAAGGAAGCGTTTCCGACCCTATAAAGTGTATATATTCTTGACCAGTAGCCATGTCCGTCTGTCCGTCCGTTCGTATGAACGCTGAGATCTGAACTATAAGAGATAAAAAGTTGAGATTAAGCATGAAGATTCTTGGGGTCCCTACGCAGCTCCAGTTTATTTCAGCATCCTGCCACGGCCACAAATCACGGAAAACTAAAATCTCTGAAATCTAAGAAAATATTAGAGCTAGAAAGTTGAGATTCAGTGTGAATAATCTTAAGATGCTAGTAAATAAATATTTACATCAATAATTTGGCAATATGAGCTTATGTAACTCTTAATGTTTTCAATATAGTTTTCAAAAACATATTAATGCGAAAGATACTCTCTTTCTTTATACCTTTCATAAGACCTGATCAAGTAAATTTTTTCGTGCATAATTTAACAAGTCAATGTTAGTTTCCTTTAATATTTATATATAATTTAAATATTTCATGTCATTTGATACAGGTGAAAGCGACGTACGACCGCAAATAAAAGGGTCTCAAACTCCAACTCAACGACAAACAGTCGCAAGTGAGGGAACTAAATCGGAATCAGAAGGAAATCATGTGCCGCAGTCATCATCTACATCTGCTGCTGCTGAAACCGGACACAAAAAAGAAAAATCGGTGCTCCAAGCTAAGTTGACAAAATTAGCTATACAGATTGGATATGCTGGGTCGACCATCGCCGTACTCACAGTTATAATTCTGATTATTCAGTTTTGTATTAAGACTTTTGTTATTGATGAAAAGCCTTGGAAAAACACTTATGCCAATAACTTAGTAAAGCATTTGATAATTGGCGTTACAGTATTAGTAGTTGCTGTTCCAGAGGGACTTCCTCTGGCCGTAACTTTATCCCTGGCATACTCGGTCAAGGTTAGTTGGGCTTAAATAGATAAAATCTTAATTTAATGAATAATTATTTTATAGAAAATGATGAAAGACAATAATTTGGTTCGACATTTGGATGCGTGTGAAACAATGGGTAATGCCACTGCGATTTGCTCAGACAAGACCGGAACCCTTACGACCAACCGTATGACGGTTGTTCAATCCTATATTTGTGAAAAATTGTGCAAAGTTTTGCCAACACTTAGCGATATACCACAACATGTTGGCAATTTGATCACAATGGGAATATCTGTTAACTCGGCTTATACTTCAAATATTATGGTAATTAAATTAAATTTATTTTTGCTGTATAACCCGGTAAATATGAATTTGTTTCTTTCTTTTGGCATAAAAGGCTGGGCAGAACCCTGGAGATTTACCAATACAAGTTGGCAACAAAACAGAGTGTGCTCTTTTGGGATTTGTGCAAGGGCTAGGTGTGAAGTATCAATCTATTCGAGAGGAAATTACGGAGGATAAATTTACGCGCGTGTATACTTTTAATTCAGTTCGTAAGAGTATGGGGACTGTGATACCCCGTCCTAATGGAGGGTATCGTTTGTATACCAAAGGAGCTTCTGAAATCATCATGAAAAAGTTGGTATATTTATTAAAACAAAAATTTCTTATAATTGGTATAATTATTTTAGATGTGCCTTTATCTATGGCCATGAGGGAACCTTGGAGAAGTTTACAAGAGATATGCAGGAACGTCTGATACGTGAAGTTATTGAACCAATGGCATGTGATGGTTTGCGCACCATATCTGTGGCATATCGCGATTTTGTGCCTGGGAAAGCAGCCATTAATGAAGTACATATTGATTGCGAACCAAATTGGGATGACGAGGAAAACATTATGACAAATCTTACATGCCTCTGTGTAGTTGGTATAGAAGATCCAGTTCGCCCAGAAGTGCCAGACGCCATTCGAAAATGCCAACGTGCTGGTATAACCGTTCGGATGGTCACTGGGGACAACATTAATACAGCACGCTCAATTGCCAGCAAATGTGGTATTTTGCGACCTAATGATGACTTTCTTATTTTAGAAGGCAAAGAGTTTAATAGGCGCATTAGGGATAGCAATGGAGATGTATGTTATATTACCATTATTTTTGGCACAGGTTTTAAATTTATTCTTTTTTTGTTATTATTATCAACAGATTCAACAACATCTTATTGATAAAGTATGGCCAAAACTGCGGGTTCTAGCACGATCGTCCCCAACTGACAAGTATACTTTAGTTAAAGGTTCGTTGTGTTTCAATTCCTTAAAACCGTACTCAGTTTAAAGTTGATGCCCAACACAAAACGGTTCATTGTATAGTTTCCGACCTTTTAAAGATTACTAGACAATCTGATATATCCATGCTTGTGGTTCTCGACTATAAAGACCAAGAAGTTTGAATTAATAAGTGCGCGACGCAAGTTTTTTAATGTTAAAAGATTTTTCTAAGTTAGAATATTTATATGGAAAGTATGGAAAGTATTGAAAATATGGAAAGGGTAAAAGGAAGCGTTGTGTATCAATAGCCATGTAGATTAAGCTATGTCCGGCTGTCCGTGTGAACGCTGCGATCTTAGGAGATACTATAGGAGATACAAATTTGAGACTAAGTATGTAGATAATGAGGTCCCTACACAGCACAAGTTTATTTTAGCATCGAAATCGCTTTGTGCTGCTTAATTGAGTTCACATGCACATGACCTGAATTCTTGATTGCCCAAGGAGCCAGGATTCGCCTCGAAAAACCAAAGGCAAATCCCTTTCACCCCCCCTACATACACACTTAATGCCAATGTGTGTGTTTTTTGGGGGGTGGTGGTCGCGTCAGGTGTTCTGACTGCTGATGAGGCCACAGCACATGTTGCCCTCCTTCCACAGATCCTGGGGACCTTCCACAGTTAGGAGACTTTTAACCTGCAAGTTGAATTCTCTTATCCCTTTGCTTCGCTCCTTTTATTACGTAATTCCATAGTTTACTTTTGCTACCAGACTCCGCTTTAAGTGGCAGGAAAAACAATAAGATCAACTTCTTAAGCTCAAAATATTCAAACACTGCAATTAAACTTTAATTTAAATATATTTAAAGGTATTATTGACAGCACAGTTAGTGAAAATCGAGAAGTAGTTGCTGTAACTGGAGACGGAACAAATGATGGCCCAGCTCTTAAAAAAGCCGATGTGGGCTTTGCTATGGGCATAGCAGGAACAGACGTTGCTAAAGAAGCTTCTGATATTATATTAACTGACGATAATTTTAGCAGCATTGTTAAAGCTGTAATGTGGGGCCGAAACGTGTATGACTCCATAGCCAAGTTTTTGCAGTTTCAGTTGACAGTCAATGTAGTCGCCGTAATTGTTGCATTTATTGGTGCGTGTGCTGTCCAAGATTCTCCACTTAAAGTAAGTATTAAGAGACAGTATTAGACATAATTTTAATAAAAACTTTTATCAGGCAGTGCAGATGTTGTGGGTAAATCTCATAATGGATACATTGGCATCACTTGCATTAGCAACCGAGTTTCCGACACCAGATTTATTGCTCCGTAAACCTTATGGCCGCACAAAACCTCTAATTTCGCGCACAATGATGAAGAACATATTAGGGCAGGCGCTTTATCAATTGGTAATAATATTTGGACTGCTTTTTGTCGGTAAGTTTTATTTAAATTTGTTTTTACTTTTTTGTAATATTTAAATTTTGTAGGAGATTTAATACTTGATATTGAATCTGGTCGCGGACAAGAACTTAATGCGGGCCCGACACAGCATTTTACTATTATCTTTAATACATTTGTCATGATGACTTTATTCAATGAAATTAATGCTCGAAAAATCCACGGTCAGCGCAACGTTATTGAAGGTCTTCTGACAAATCCTATATTTTATACCATATGGATATTCACAATGATATCACAGGTAAGTTTTTCATATTCTAAGAATTGGTAATTTAGCCAAATGCTTATGCTATACCTAATTTCAGGTGTTAATCATTCAATATGGAAAAATGGCTTTTTCGACCAAGGCTTTGTCACTAGACCAATGGCTCTGGTGTATATTTTTTGGAGTTGGTACGCTTGTTTGGGGTCAACTGATAACCTCAGTGCCTACAAGAAAATTACCTAAGATATTATCGTGAGTAAATGTTTAACGTTATTACGCTTATAAATACCCACTTATAAATGGAATTAATGATGACTTATATGGTTGCATAATTTAAGTCACATAAAAATTAAGAACTAAAGGTTGTATTCCGTTTATTAGCTCAGAGCTCGTTATTATTTGCATTCCATGCTATTGTTAAGTAAAACATCTATATGTATAGCCATTGTATTTTTACAATTACGTTATTACTTTTTAATGATTATGAATGTGTGCATGTATTATAGTTCAGTATTTTAACTATAATTTTATAAATATGTTTTTAGTTAAAATAAATATACAGGCCTAGAAACTTTTGTTTTCAATTATGCTAATTATTATTTAAGAAATTATTTTAAATTGTTAAAAGTTTATGTTATTTTTTACGCTATCGTTAAGTTTATTCTAGGCGTGTACATGTTTTATAAATACTTACATCTTTGTATATTTAAGGCAAAGTAATGGTAGCAAAAAAGATTTAGCATAGCCTTTTGAAGGCTTTTTTTGATGACCAACGGGCGGGAGGTAAAAGGATTATATATTTTTTAGGATTTCACTTCGCACAGATACTGATAGTACTTTTTTTTGACGCTTCATCTACAGAAACACTCAAAGGCATGTACATAGGTCTAGAAGATATTTTCAGACCGAAGTGTTCAGAGTAAATACCTTTTTCCACATCGTCGTCTGTGTAGTTGTGTGTAGTTACGGATAGTCCCCATATTCCATTTCACAAAATGGTTCTAAGGTGATCCACAGGATTTCAGTAGGGAGTCGCAATAAACCACCACATAATGTGTGCAGAAGAATGCTTAGACTTTTGCAAAGTTCATGTTTGGGGTTTTTGTCATATAGATAAATTTCGATCATACGTTAAACTCCAGCTATTAACTCTCTAAATAGCTTATGTAATTCTTTTATGGTACAACGGGTAAACAGATCAAGTTCCCACAGAAGATTGGTCGCTGTCGATGAAGAGCCATCAAACTGGCTGTGAAGATGGCCGAGCGAAGTTCGGTTGCTTTCCGACAGATTAAATGGTGCTTGCTGCCTCTGCACCCGCTCATCTTTGTTAGGATTCTTGTCGAGAGACCTGTCCTGGCATTTGGCAATATCACAGTTGCTGCTTTTCCATTTGGATAAAATCTTAGCTTTTGATAGTTCACCTCCAGATCTGAGAAGTAGATGTAAGACCTTTTTCCTGGTTCTTTGGGTTCTATAGAAACACAATATGGAATAAATGTTAGGCACAATCATCTACGTAAGTTCCGATTTGTATCAAAAAGAGTATCTGCCCTATAGTTGAACTTTGTATTCGATTTTTTTTGGAATTTTGGGATGTGCAGTGTTTTTCCCGTCCTGACGAGTCATTTTTTTAAGTTTGCATTATAAGTTAGATTATTGGACATTATAAATGTTTTACAGAGAACAACATTTTTCTTAGGTAATTTATTTTACGCTAACGTTATTATTAGATAAACATCAATGTTTTTTTCATTTTTAAACGTAAATTGCTTTTAAGTTAGTTAACTCAGATATCTTTTACACCTCAAGGCAAGCTGTTATAACTCTAAAAAGATTAAATGAATTAGGTTGGGTTATTGACGTTAAACAATTTTTTTAGGGATGGCTTCTTTGTGATAATCAACTGGGAAGATATATAAATTATTAATAATAAAACATAAAGAAAATATAAATTTTCAAAGGTTAGGTGTCATATTTCATAGACATGTGATAAGGACCAAAGTTTTTTAATTAAAGGATGACATTTAAGAAACATAACATTCTAGGTGGGGTCGCGGACATCCAGAGGAATACACAGATGCCATGCATTTGGGAGAAGAACGTTTTGATTCAATTGATTCTGATAAAAAACCAAGAGCTGGACAAATTCTCTGGATTCGTGGACTAACTCGCTTGCAAACTCAAGTAAGTGTCATGCCCAAACTCTAAACATAAACATTTAATTAAATAGTAAAGCGCAACCACTTGGTTTCAAAAAAAGGATCAAAATTATGTTATCATATCAGTTCGAGATTTAAAAATTTTATTTTATTATGATTTCTACTTGAGTTTTATTTCTATACTTTAATCACATAAATAAAAAAACAGGGTAATATTAAAAGCTAGCTGGGTCATATTCTACACGATTCTCTGGACTACTTAAATTTATTTTTTTAGACGCTGTCAAGAAAGTTCGTAAAATTGTAATTGTTTTATCTGTAACGATTTTTTCCGAAACATTCCATGGTGGCACGAAAAATGTAATACGAAAACGTTAATCTGACATAAAATAAATGTGGGATGAAAAACTTTATATATAAGGACATTCCAACTATTAGAATAAAGGAAATAAGTAAAGTCCTTTTGGGGGTCATACATTTAATTATATGAATTTTGTTTTTATTTTTACTATTAAATTTATTTGTTCTTACTGTTTTGAAATGGTTTGTGTTCTTTGACAGTACGTTTATTTTCAGATTGACACTGTAGCTTCTCGTAAAGTAGTCGCGTTAAAGTACTAATATATAGAGCGCCAATTTTTTAAACAAAGTAATTTAACGAATATACTGTTTAAAAAATGTATGTAAATATGCTGCAAGTGAAATGGTCAGATTTAAATATTATGTTGTTCGCCTACTGTTAGTTTTCTAAACATTTTGTAGATTGTCTGTTTTTAAGAAAAATTAGACAATTTAGGAGTGAACATAAAGCTTTTTTATAGCTCTGTCTCTTTAATCTTACAACTTTTTTCGATCTGTCTTCCTGTCTCTTTTGACTAACTATATTTACAATTTTTAAGTAAGCACTTTTCTGTAATTTTGGTGTTAAGTATGATTTTAAAATGGGTCGCTTCACATTTCTTATTCCCACTTAAAATAAAAGAAGGAACGCTTTTGTCAAGAGTCCTGATGCTCGTTTCTGTTTGTAAAACCAAGGCTTATTTATAACATTCCTGGTACATAACAGAATTGGTATATCAAAACGAAATGTACTTTTGCGCACTCGACTATATCGTAGTTAATGGGTAATGGCGTAAAAATTAAACTATTTTACACAAATTGAATGTTATGTAAATTTTTATCCAAAGTAAAAGTATACAAAAAAATTAAATTAAAAACTTATATTTCAAGATTCAATAGTCTTAACTTTGTGTTACGATTCACATATAAAAACAGCAATCTAATAATTAGAAATTTTATTACCATCAGTTATTTAACGCGATAGTATCTAATTAATTAATTTTAGTTTGTATAGATTATCCCTAATTAAAATGATGTGCGTCGTGCGTCAGATAAGTGCGTCGATACCTGCTCCTGATTACATTAATTACATTCCTTTATTTTCAATAAATTTTCCACACCATAACGTCTCAACAAAATATGCATATATTTCTTATCTATTAAATTACCCTTTTGGTATTTCTCTAAAAATATTTAAGCTCCTCCAACGAAAACAAAACTTTACTTTTAAAACTTTACTAAATCTAAATAAATAACCTTTTGTTACAAGATGCATGATATTTTTAAATGGGAAATATAACTTCTTAGTTCAAAACGCTATTTTATTTTGGTTATCCGTATTCGTAATACTGCGGGATATTTTTTTCATACAACTAAATGCCCCAATGGTATTCTTTCAAAAATTTTCATAAAAAATTAGTAAAGAATAATAATATGATATAATAATATAATATGCTATAATAAAATATTATATAATAACAAAATGAGCTAAAATAGATTTTAACATTATATTAAAAATATGTTTTCCGACTTGTATTTATTCGTTTATTATAAGAGCTCAAACTGACTGGAGCGTCCATTATAGCTTCCGGGAGTAACGTTCTTCTAAGTCAGGGGTTAAAATTCCATTTACGGCGGACCATTAATAACACAAATACAAGAAAACGTGCACATATTATATTTATACAAAAGTTATGTGAAAGTTAGTTCGAGCAACTTGGAGCTTCGACAGAGTGAGGGGGAAATATTAAAATTAAAAAAGCTTATCGCTAAACGATACATTTTTAATATAATAATAATAATAATAATATTGACATTTACCATACCTACGGTATTAAATATAAATAAAATAAATTTTATGATTTTTGTAGAGTAACCTTTTTTAATAACTATAAGAAACCGTTTACTGTCTTATTAAATTTTAAAATAATCATTTTTCTACGAGAAATTGAGGCAGCGAATAATTTTTCCAGCTTACCTTTTCTCAGAAAAAAACACGTCTAATAAATGATGACTTATAACCTAAACTTCTAAATAAATTGTGAAATAATGTTTTGTTCGCGAGCATGTTGTGCTCGCCGAAATTTTTCTCGTTGATGGTTGTGTTCGTCGTCAAATTTCGTGTTTGCGAACATGGTCGCATGAAATTGAAATCATTCTATTTTGTCCATGTTCGCAACAACATGCTCGCCAATGGATGGAAACGTTGGCACGAACATCATTTGTGCACAGCGCAAACTGAGCCAAAAATTTCTGCAAGAATTTATTTTTTGTCTGCAAAATGAGCCTGCTATGTGGAATGCGAAATGTGAGGCGTATAAAAATAAAAATTTTTACAATAAAGCGTGGGAAGTGCCATTAAAAGCTTCGTATGCGTGAATTTTTTGCGCTTAGCGTACCATTCTTTTATCCAAATACTGTGCTTTCTCTTTTGCGCTTCCCCTTTTTTTAAGCAAATATTCATTGCCGTCAGTGCAATTACAGTGCCGCTGTCGTCGTCCGTTGACATGTTGACTGCTTGAAAATTTTCCGACAAATGATGTTCGCGACCATGCTGGCACTAGTTGGTGGCAAATGAAATTCAAGTTCGCGAGCATGCTTGCCAAGATGCTCGCCTGTGGATGGCCTACTTCAACTCCAGCTTCAGTGGCATTCCTAGAATACCTAACATTTAGTTCTTAGTTCCCGAGATGTTAGCGTTTTTGGTTTTCCGCGATCAGATACCGGTACAACCTTGGTACGCTGGCATATCAAGATTATACATGCCTAATATCAACTTTCAAACTCTTATAGTTCCTGAGATTCTAACGATTTTAGGTTTTCGTCTTTTGTGGGCGTTATATTTGGCGTCGGCGGATTCAAATGAAAACTGGAGCTGCAGTGGCATCTCAAGAAAATGCATGTTTGCTCCTAACTTTCTAGCTCTTATAGTTCTGCGAGTAACGTTATATTATATAAGCAATTTTCGACTCACTAAAAATCCCGATAAGTAAATTATTTTACGCACAACACCCTGACATAAAACCCGTGATAACAATATTTATTTTAAAAATTTATTCTTATTTAATCTTATTCTCATGCTTATGTCCAAATGTTATTATCAGCGGTAGCAGTGCGCAAAAAATCATAATTATTAATTCACTATATCTTAATGTTTGTATACTATTACTTTTATTTATGTCATTAATTTCCCGTGATTCTATGAATACGCAATAATCTTGATGATTGCACTGCGATAGTCTGCGTTTGGTAAGTTCTGGTAGAACATGAACCGTGGTCACTTATAAAAGTGTATGCCAGCAAAAATAATTTCAAAAGGCTTAATATTTCTACAAACGTTCTTTGGTAATTTCGCATAAGGAGCAAGTGCATAATTGCGCCTGGGTGTCAAGAATTACCCCCAACTCTGTTGATTTATATACCTTATTAGAATAGGTTTCCCAAACACCCTTATTGGAATAATATATTACCCATTACACGTAGGGTATATGGTATTCGTTAAAAAGTATGTGAAGGGGAGATGAAAGCGTTATTGGGACTTCCTTCCTTCCTTTCAAGTAAAATTATTCGGTCAATCCTCAATGACCTGCTCATGCAAAACAGTTGAAGACCCTGAAAGATGAGTGCTTCGAACACTCCCTTTTTACTTTAAGTGTTTAGGGTGTCTGGTGCAACAGAATAGTTTGTTCATACGCACAAACACAGGCACATTCGAAATTACCAGTACAACCCCTTATTTTAGGGTGCCGATCAGACTCTAAGTGCCGTAAACGCACAAATGATTCGAGTGCACTTATAGTTTGGGTGTATCCTTGCCGTTCTCTGGTATATATATATCCTTGATCAGGATCAATAGCGAAGTCGATTGAGCCATGTCCGTCTGTCCGTATGAACGCTGAGATCTCATGAACTATAAGAGATTAAGCATAAAGATTCTTGAGTTCCCTACGTAGCGCAAGTTTATTTCATCTTGCTACGCCCACTCTAGCGCCCGCAAATCACGACAAACTAAAATCGATGAAATCTCAGGAATTATTAGAGCTAGAAAGTTAGGATAAAGTTATAATCCTGAGATATCAGCGCATCTTAAGGACGGTTTTCGCTATTTGTAAAAAGGCTTATATCTCGGTAACCATAAAAGATAAAAAGTTGCGATAAGGCATGTCTAGCATGATGCCACCCAATGCGTATTATTTTTTCCCAACTCGCCATCTCGCTTCTTCCATTGCTAACACAAGAATGCGAAGACATCCTGCCGATCTCTGGACAAGAGGACGCCAAGTTTCTCGAGTCCTACAACAGTAATTCAGATTTAGTAGTATTGATCTCTAGTTATATACTTATAAATATTTGTTAATTTCCTTCCTGATATGTATTTATGTTATTTGTTCAATATTATACTCAACATATTATAATAGCCATTGAGTTGGTTGATTGGCGTTTAATAAATGTATTTATTTGTTATACCAAAAAAAATAGTTTCTGAGATCTCAGCGTTTATACGAATAGACGGACATGGATTAATCGCCTCGGGTATTAATCCTAATCAATTATATACGAGGATGGTCTGAAAAACTTCCGACCTGAACGCAATATATATACGCCTTCGTATATACTTTATAGGGTCGGAAATGCTTTCTTCTACCTGTTACATAATTTTCAACGAACACATCGTATCTCTTATATATTATATACATATATAATATATATATATATATATATATATATATATATAATATTGGAAATATTTCGTTTTGAAATTGAGTCCAACTTCTATTCTAAATGATTACTTAGCAATACAATAGTATTTTTTTTAATAATTAGTCAAACATTCTAATAAATCGTTCTAGTGTTATGCTAGAGAAGTTTGAAGTTTGTTTACCTAAGTTAAATAAATAATTGATTTTGTTGCTCAGCACAATGTTAAAATTATTCATATACTGGTTAATATTAACTTGTTATCACATTTATGCTGAATAAATAAATTCGTAATAAAACGTTCCTATCTACTATGTCCGTCTGCCCATGTGAACACCAAGATCACGAAAACTAAAAGAGTTGGAAACTTCGGATTAAGCATGCGAAATTGATTAGTACTGTAAAAGGTATCTGATAGTCGCGGCACTCGACTAAAGCGTTTCCTTTTGTTTTTTTTTATGTTAGTAACATATGCAGCTTGTTTAGTAAGTCTTCTAACAATTTTTTTACATTGATTTACATAACATCATTAAAATAATATAACTTTTGGATTTTGTTTATCGTCTTTAAATCGCTGTTCTCATAAATCTTGAAGGATATTAACTCTTGGTTAAATTTCTCGTTTTTTTTCGAATAAAACTACATTACAAAATAGTTTACCCCCCTTTTCCTAAACATAAAGAGAAAAAAGACGTTAGTATACAAGTTTATAAAAATATCTGTCCTAAGTACCTAGTTACCAACATTTTTCTTGGTTTGGTTTTTTACTTTCTTTTAATTTTTTTTAACCTATTCTGGCAATGTATTGAATATTAATACTCAATTTTTGAATTTTAAAGGACTTTTAATAGATTAATTTTTGTTAACCTTTTTTTAATGAGTACCAAACATATCTGCAGTACTAGATCCACGAACCATTAATGTAAACATTATGCAATAAATTTCTAATGTGAATTTTATATTTTTCGTCCTCTTGATACACTAATTTCTAATTCATACCTGATTGAATAACATAAATGATTATAACAAAATTTTATAACTTATCACTTATTTAATAAAATATATCAATAAAACTATACAAATTAAACAATAATTTGTACGTATGTATGACTTGTGTCATTAACATCATTAATTGCAATTGAAAACTCACGCGCAAATTCAACTTACGACCAGATTTCTGTACCGGTAAGAATTGTATATGATTTTATGTATTGGCAGCTAGTAAAAAAAAATTTAAACAGCTTTTATTCTATTTATAGTTTATTTTAATTTTTTCATTACACTTGCATTTTGACATTAAGACAAAACCTTACTTTATGATCTATCCCATTATAGGAGTAGTATCCTGAAAAATGTGCTGTTTCGTAAAGTAAATATGAGGAAAAAGTTACATTTTTAATTTTTTTAAGTCGCATTTTTGTATACTGTAAATAAAAAGTTTTATAACAAGTACATTTAAAATGTTGTTTTCTACAATTTTTGCTTAACCTAGCAAAATTAGTGAAAGACGCTTATGATCGGATATTCACCAGCATTATAATTCTGAAAAGGCACAGTTTTATAGACATATTTTGAGAAAAAATTATATAAATTTAAAAGTGCACAAAAAATGTGTTTGGGTTATGTATAAATAGTAAAGCACTCACAAAAGAAAACTATTTTTTTTTAAAGTCGATTTAGAAATTGGTGCTCAGATTAAAGTATATAGATTGAATCTAAAATGATTTTTGCTTAATTAATCTAAATATACATTTTAAACAATATGTAATCAATTGCATTAATCAATTTCCATCAATATGATTTTTATAAGAAAAGGTAGAAATGACCAGATGGATTCGACTAATAATTATAATGAAGACTATATATATATTAATAAAAAAACTTCTAGCTAATTTTTAAAGAAAACAACAGACCTAAAATGTTAGTTTTGTCATTTAAAAAACAATTTTTCGGGCAAGTTATGCAACATTTTATAGATTAAATGCCAATTTTCTTGTCATTCATATTCATCACTTATCTCGAGCACTATGTGAATATGCTAAATCGATCACAGATAGTCAGATTTCGGTAATAAGATAGAGAGAAATCAGGTTATGTTAAATTTCAAAGAATATGACAAGGGCTCATGCAGCAAATATTTGGTGTACATTCAGGCCAGTGGGTAAAAAATCTACAGATTTTAAAATATTAATAATATACAAGGGAAGTTGAATTGTGCAATATAAGTTTATTAAGGTATATTATTATTATTAGGTATATTAGATACCTGTTCAAACATTTTAAGACAAACAGATTACAGACTTAATACGATACGAACGTATATAGCAAA